ACTCGAACCACTCGAAAGAATCGATCGACGCTTGAAACAAACAAAAAAAAAAAAAAAAAAAAAAAAAAAAGAAATAAATTCGACATCGATCAGTTTATTACGTACGATATATATTTAATTTTCATTTTCAATTAAATCGATTTTCTCCTCTGTCGGGATCACACCTCTGTCGTCGTTCGCGAGTCGAGTTTCTTAAGCACCATGTACACTGACGATCGTCGAGGATGATCTCGGAGCCCCGGAAGATTGTAACAGAGAGGCTGTCCGACGTCATTCGACGCGACTATGTTTCTGCTATGATGCTAGTCCAAAGTGCACGTCCAACGGCACGTTCGACCGGCGACCAACTGGCGGATTTCCACCAGCGTTCCAACGTTCTCCATGCTCCACCGTCTCTCGGTGCGATTTTTCGCCTATCGATTCGCAACGATTCTATTCCTCTCCATTCCTTTCATTTCCTTCTTTCTGTCTGTCTCTCTCTCTCTCTCTCTCTCTCTCTCTCCTTTCCTTTCCTCCTTCTCTTTTCCGTTTCTCCCTTCGTAACGGTTAGCTGAAGAACAGGCCCCGACGAAGGAATATCGCAGGGAGGATATCGAGCGTGGCGAAACGTGCCACGCTCCGTCTCGTCGCGGATTATTAGATTTCAATTTAGATTAGAAGTAGCGCAAGGCCGGGTGAAAATCGAGACGGTGAGAGATGATTCGTTGGCCGTCGCGTTGTCGGTCTAGGAAAGGAACGTAGTAGAGCGCCCGTGTTCGCACCGGTAGAACGTGCCGCGAATTTTCGATTTCTTATACTACTTCCCACGATTTTGAATCCTTTTCTCTGTCTTTTTACACATACACACACTGTCTCTCTCTCTTTCTGTCTCTCTCTCTTTCTCTCTCTGTCTCTCTCTCTTTCTCTGTTGACTATTGACTCCCCTGCACGCTGTTTCTCTCTTGCACGTCCAATTGCACGCTTTTTTTCGGATGTGATATATACGTAAATATATACATACACATATATATATATATATATATATATATATATATATGTATATTTATCCTACAGACACTCTTGATACGTATATATATAGTACACATATATTTATACGTATGTTGAAACCCATATATTGTATATGTACAGTTAACAGATCTTGCCAGTGTTTCACGTAATGTTCGTTCACGAACGGTTTGCTTCCTCTCTTCTATAGTGTGTAATAATCGGGCTGAGTCAGTCGACTTGAAGGTATATGCCTCGTAGATCGTACAATTGTGATCTGTGACATCGAAGCGCTCGTTGAAAATCTGCTTCGGGGGCGAGTTTCGACTCGTTGCTCCAAAACTCTTGCGTACACGCCTGTACACGAGCATACATACATACATACATACGTACATACATACATACATACATACATACATACGTGCATACATAAATACGTGCATACACACATAAATGCATACATACAGACGTACATACATACACACATAAATACATACATACAGACGTACATACATACACACATAAATGCATACATACAGACGTACATACATACACACATAAATACATACATACAGACGTACATACATACACACATAAATGCATACATACAGACGTACATACATACACACATAAATACATACATACAGACGTACATACATACACACATAAATACATACATACATACATACGTACGTACGTACAGACTTCTGTACACCATACGCGCACACAGAGACACAAACTTTGTCGCTGCTCTCCCTCCTCCCAACTCTCCGCTATCGCTCGGTTTCTCCAACTCTCTGTCTGTCTGTCTGTCTGTCTGTTTCTCCTGTCTTCTCTCCGGGACACGCTCGCGGAGAAACTCGTGTTCGGACTGGTTTCGAATTGGCTGCCGCGAAATTAAACGGGAATCCGGCGTCAGATTAGGATTTTTCGTTTAATTTTGCGCTCGGCGGCCGCGGGATCGGGCTCGATGTCACAGCCAACGAGACCGCTTCTACGTAAAAAAGTTACCGGCGCCGTGCTGACTTTTAATCTTTCGCGCGGGCGCGCTTACGCGCCTGTACTGCATCGTTCAGTATTAACATAACCGAGTGGTAATCACGATTGAGCACTGATTGAGTATATTGTGCTTTATACACATGCATAACGGTGATGCCCGTTTCGATTCCGATAGATCTCTCGCGAACAGGCCGACCCAGTTCCATCGTTCTTCATTATTAGCGTCTCTCGAGTTCCCTGTAATCTAATCCTATTGATAAATATGGCGAACGGATACAGCGGCGGTGAGCCGAATGCTCCGCGAAAGTGCCGGCCGAAATCAGGGGAAATTCGTGTTCGGGTAGGAAAACGAAAATCAAGAATGACGTGAAATTAAACGTTGGAGGAGCTTTAATTACGATACGTCATATTGCGACTGACGACGTATCGCTTTTTTTTAAATCGCTGTCGCTGTCTCATTTCCCTCGTCGGTGAGAGGATATGAGAATATCTCTGAAACGAAATCTGTTTCTACGATTGTAGGATTATAACGTGAACGACAATTCGTTGGAATTTAAACGAGCATCATTGTATGTATGTATGTATATTATTATTATTATTACTATTATTATTATTATTATTATTATATGTATATCGATATCCTATGGTACTCTTTTACGTTAGATCGTTGTACAACGACACCTCGAACACACGATATTTCGCCTCTAGCTAGAGTCGTGCTCTTTTGTCCCGTTTTTTTCGAATGAACCGTCCACATTTGTTGCTCTCTCTCGATATTTGTGTTGTATTATCGTGTATATCAGCCACGTATTTGACCGATTCTGACCGAGTTATATTATATATATATTATATATCACTGTCACTGTCCAGTAGAACAGTATCTTTTTTATGAAAACTATGCTATGTTTTCGCTCGAGATATTCTCTATGATTTTGTGTACTGTCATCATTATCATCATTATCATCATTCAAGCTATATTGAGACTGTAGTAGTATAAATCGTATTTGGGCGAAATCGGCGCGAGAGATCTCGTCAACCGGCGCCGATGCATGAAACCGATTCGAAACGTGTTATTACGCGTTCGATGTATTGTCAGTGAACGTTTGTTCGAAGAAATGAAACGCGCGATCGAAAATCTTCAAATTCAGCTGCACTCGCCTGTGAAGGCCTTTGTGCGTCTTGTGAAAAGACCATTTTCATTCAAATGGAACGTGCATGCACGCCGTTTAAACGACATAACAAATCATTTTACTCGATGTGAAACTTCGATAGAAATTAAACAAGACAAAGCATCGACCGATCGACCAAGCATGAGAATGGACGAATTTTGCAATGAAACTCCTTCGAGTTCCATTTCTACTGAGAATGGGGGTTTTTCAACGAGGTCTCTCGTGCTTTCTTCGTTCTACTTAGTTTTCCACGCTCGTTCCGATAATTGACTGCTCGGCGTCCTATTATAGTTGCTGGTAAGTAAACTCATCGTTCAATCAAATCGAATGAGAAAAGAAAGCCAAACGATCACGACGAACTGTCCCGATCGAGCACCTCTCGCGTCGACCTGCGAATCGAACGAAATCGAACGCGAAAAGACGCTCCACGGGAAGGGAACAACGAGCGAACCGCAGATAAAAAAAAAGAAAAACCCGGTTCGTTAACGAAAAACATACACCGTGCACTGGACAGTCGCGTCTGGTTTCGCCTTACTTTCGCCGAGAGTCTCGCCGAAGACACATTGGCCGACATTAGCAGCTACTCCCCGGCTCATAAATGTTCATTTTCCGGGCCACGGGGCACGCGGTAGCGCGCGAGCGCCTCTGACCGAATATATTTACGGCCGTGCCGCCATTTTTCACGGACTCAGGCCGGTTTAACGTTGCACCTGTCCAGTGTCCACGTTCCGGAGGTCACGTAGCTGGAAACACGTAGCAGAAACTCCAAGTTATCGCAGTTATCAAGCACCGCCGCCGGTTCTTGTACAAACGCGCCACGAAACCAGCACGAAAATTTCGTTCACCCTGGCGCCTAGTGATATAGATCCAGTGTTTGGTCAGACAACGAAATAGAGCGGCCGCACGATATGAACCGTTGCACCTGGCCGGCGAATCGATGCGGATTCGATCAAACAATTCGTGATCACGAAATTTCCTACTTCGTGACCTCCTCCGCGCCTCGTTTCGCGACGAGATTTCGATCACAGCGGGGCAGGAGGGGGGGAAAAGGGGGGAGGGCGGGGTGGAAAAAAGCGAAGCGAGATCCTGGAAATTGCAGGAGCAAATGGAGTGTATTATACGGAGTATTACGCGGAGAGTCGCGCGAGCACCCGGCTTCTTTTTGCAGATCGTTTTTGAATTGTCGTTGCCACCGAGAGGAACATTAATTACGGGTCCGTCCGCTTGGCCCGGGGAACGGATTAAACTCGGAGCAGTTTGTATCCGCCAGTTGTATTTTAATGTTAATTTCAGACGTTCGGGAGGAAGATTTATTAACTCGCCGTTGTTTTCGACGCGTAGATCCGGCGCTATTAATCCCGTTTCAACGGGTGCTCGCCTTTCGAAGTCACCACCGCGCGGAGTTTCATGATTTTCGATGTAATTACCTCGGCCACGGCTGCGTCACTCTCTCGCAACGCGACTCTCTTTCGTAATATCTCAGCGCAGCCGAGATCTTCGCCTCGCTACCGTTTCTACCCCGACAATACACGCGTGTGCGTACGTGTACACACGCAGAAGTCTCGTCGCCTAACGACACTCGTGTGTTCTTCTTCCCATGGCGCGTACGTTTGACTATCTGACGCTTCCTCTCATCTTCCAACCACCCCCTTTAACTAACCTTTTTCCACCAACGAAAAAAAAAAAAAGAAAAGAAAAAAAAGAAAGAAAGGAAAGTGAAAAAAAAAAAGTAAAAGATAGGAAACGAAGACGAGAGCGTCATCTCTCACGTGGAGATGCGCGTATAGGAGAAAGTGGTTTAAATGCCGGCATGCAGGTACATACTATTATCACACGTCACGTTTATAGTTCCACCGCGGATCTCGCCGTTTTATTTCGAGAACGGTGTGACGGAGGGGATGAGGACACAGCTAATGTGTACCACGAGCCAGGGTGACCAGCCGTTCAACATCACGTGGTTGATGGACGACAAACCGATTCAGGTCAGATCGGGTGACGGTGCGTCGGCGTCGTCACTGGCGTCGTCGTCGTCGTCATCGTCATCGTCGTCGTCCTCGTCGTCGTCGTCGTCGTCGTCGTCGTCGTCATCGTCGTCTTCGGGCGGATCCAACGCGGCCGTCGTCGAGACGGGCAACAACATACAGATAAGCGACTATCCGCCGTTTTCCAGCATCCTGACGATAAATAACGTCAGCGCTAAGCACAGCGGGAACTACACGTGCCAGATCAGCAACGTCGCTGGCCTGGCCGAATACTCGACCAGCCTCTCCGTTGCTGGTTGGTGTCTCAAACGAGCAAGAACAAAAATCGACATATGGTAGCTGTAAGAACCTGTGTACATAAACCGTGTGCCAGACAGATATATAATACTTGTCTCTGACTGTCTTTCTCTTCTCGTGTGTGTGTATATACATATATATATGTATATGCGTTCATTTATGTATGTATATATGTATATATGTACATATACACGCGTGTATATACATATTACGTAACAGAAAACCAAACAGCCATGACGAAGGATTGGAGTACGGTGTGTTTCGACAGAATCGATTTCGGTGTCGTGTTCTCGTTGCCTTCGATGACGCTTCCTCCGCGGTTTCTTCCCCCACCATTTTTTCGAATTATTTGCGCAATTCTTCCGTTGCCGAGCTCTGTGGAGCCACGCCGCGTGCAGATTAAATACGGAGGACTTTCTACTCCTTTGAAAAATCGCCGGCGAAAATTTATGGAAAAACTGTCCGGCGTATCATAGTCCGGGAAGATATATCGTTGCACGGACGAATATATTCCAACGTGAGAAAGGACACATTTGTCTTCGTCAATGGATGCATTTCGAAGTTCGATCCTCCGCTTGAATTATCGATGCAATATCCAAAACTAGTTACTCCACGCCGGTGGAGTTTGTACACCGACTGCGTGTTCTAGCCGAGAGTTCCTGTTTCTTCCAACATTTCGCGTGAAAATAGAATATCTGGGCGAACGTGCGACGCTGGTTTGCACGGGAGGATTCTTCTCTCCCAGTTTTCCCGAGTATATCCCCGGTAAGAAGTCTCTCCGCTCTCTACTGCCGGAATATTCCCTCGGAAGAAAATAGCGAAAGATCCGGAGGGCAGATGGCTGTTGTTCCTTCCAAGGACACCGATGGTTGCCCCGCAATTACATTTCTCCCGGCACCAATCGCCTCTACCGTGCCCGTTCTCCAGTAGACTCGCACTCGGGCGTGTACCGAGTAGTCGATTGTCTCGTCTCGAGCGCGTCTATTTTCTTTTTTTCTGTTTTCCTTTTTTTTTCAACGCGAGCACGTTTCCCCTCGTAGTCTTATTCTCGTTTCCTCCTTTCCGTCCTCGAGCCAGCTTCACCCCGGCCGATGTTCCACCCCCGAACGACATTACAGTTTTCTCAGGGCAGAAGTTCCCTGGTAGTTGCATCGGGGATCCTCTCGCGAGGATGCGGCCCAGGCAAATTAGTTTCAAGTTTCCAGAGGAGGAGGAGGAGGGCGCAATAATGCAAATTTTCAAGAAGTTCTCTCTCTCTTTCTCTCTTTCTCTGTCCGCGTCCCCGTTCGACGATTTCGAAAGTCGCCAACGATCCACGTCTAGGTCACTTTCTACTTTCCCTCGTACGAACCGGCTCTCGGTTTGTTGCTTCTGCTGGCATTGTTCTTCCGTTTACGACAGCTGCGAATTTTCTCTCGTATAGAGTCAACGTGCCGATAAATAGCGGGTGTAGCAACGCGATACACGAGAGGAAACGATGGAACGATGGCGGTGTTAATCTTCGTTAGTCGAAATGAATTCTTCCGAAGGCGATAAAACTCGTTAGCAGCCACACGGATATTTATGCAAATGCTGTGCTTTTATGGATGCGAGCGAAGAAACCAGGGACTTAAATAGAGATTTATTTAAGTGCCTGGCCGTCAAATTAGGACCGCGTGCAGGAATTTTCATTTCGCTGGCTACGGTGTCTCGTGCGAAATTACTGTCATGTAAGTGTATTATTGGGTTGGCCGACTAGTAATTGCATTTCTTTCTAATAGATGGACATATATATATTTATCTTGAAAGTAATTAACTTTGTTGTATATATGTCTTAAAAAGTAACTTCGTTCTAAACCACAAATTCATTCTTTAAACTGAGCTTGCATTAGAAAAGGAAAATGCACGATCCGGTTAAACAATTCTCTGTTTGATTTCAATATCAAAAAGGAACATTTTTGTCACATTTTATTATATGTATTAAAAAACATGCAAGCTCATGAAAAATTATCTGATATGTACGATGAAGAAGCCTTCAAACTGAATTGATTTACCAACCGACTATCAAATCGCTCTTGGAACTTTTCTTTGTCGAAAAAAAAAAAAAAAAACAAGAAGTTGCTTGAAAGATGACAGAAGATAACTGAACAAAATGGTCACTATATTGTCACTATAAAATTTTCTCGCCTTTCCTTCGCTTTCTAACCTATAGGTATATTTATATTCGTACGTAAACTGCAATAATTCCGTTTAAACCGGGTTGGTGCAACGGGACTCTCCCACTTTTGAAATCGCAGGCTCGTGACGAGACGGAAGAAACGAGGATGATTTGCACATGGTGATTTTGATATTTTAAGGGACACGCGAGGTGTCAAGAGCATCAAGAGAGGCGCGTTGCCGCACGATGTAATGTGCTTTCGTGCGCCATTCATATTCACTAAGAGGCGGCCGGTGTCCGCGGGCGAAACACACCGTAAAAACTACCCGTAAATTCGAGTTAGCCGTGTTATAGCCGGCGAATCGATGCGGGCCAGTGATACGCGCGCTAGTCCCTCGTGATTTCGATATCGTTTTTTCGACGCGTCGCGTGCACGCGACCTTCCCCCAGCCAGCCGTGAAATAACACCCTCGGCTGTTTTGTCCCGTTAACGAACTATTTTCACGGATCCTGTCCGTTTCAACCTAATCTCGAAAATACGACACGTCGCGCCGCACCGCGCGGGCACGATACCTCGGAACAGACGGCTCATTAGTTGCGAAACAAATTTTTCCAGGTACACGCTGTGATTTCCTGGGAAATTTTATACGCGTTTCGCGCAGATATGGATTGTGACCGATCGACGAGACTTTGGGTGATTGTTCGCTTTCGTAAAGAGGAATCTTCGAAATCAGTTTTCACACCATTTTGGTGGTACTGCGAACTGCTGCAGCCACCGTGGATGGAAAGTCTCGTAAAACAAAGGATGATAAATTACACAGGTAGAATACAGGGAATTTAATGGCATACTATCGCTTCGAAGTTTGGAACTATTTAACAAGGTGGCATAGACTTTTTGAAAGTAGCTTTTAATGCTACAATTTCAAATTTAGATCTCACGCTTGTTTATTTATTAAAATGTCCGGACGGCTAGTAGAAAGATAAAAATTAATTACTTTGCCGAACGTTAGAAATCGAGCGTATATAGAGCAGAATCGATGGAGGATAAAGTTCCTCGTATACTTTAAATTAGTTGCCGCGCGATCGATTAAGACCATCCAGACGTTAGAATCTACTTGCGCACACTATATACGAGCACCCTCGAGAACGATCGCCGAACGATTTAGAACCGGCGCAAGCGGAGGATTTCACAGCGAAAGGATTCGTGACTTAGGTGAAATCGGCCAGGATAAAATAGCGGATCGATAGAACTCGCGAAACTCGTTCGCCGATGGGAATTTTCGCGTCAGGCGAATTTAAGGGGCTCGTAGAACCGCCGCTGCTGGAAACAAGAGGCAATCGTGCGGAAAATGGAGTACTCGATTCTCGCCGATCAGCAAAACCTTGGGAATGATAAAAGCAACAATGCTCGTCGCGACGAACAATCTGCTGAGGAAGATTCCGATAAGGAACACCTGACTTTCCGCGTTTGTTTCCCGGGATATTATAGCGCTACTCTTTATCTGGTACAACAGAGCACACTGTACAAGTACAAGTGTATTTGAGCACCAGGTGTAATTTGATTTACAGCTCGACATCAGAAAAGGAATAAATTGAAGTTTCTACAAGTGCTGGGAGTCAACGAGTTCTTTTGATTTTGTAAAAAAGAATTCGAACTTATTTAACTCTCGTAAAAAGAAAAATCTGTTTTTATGAAAGTTTTATAGAAAGACTTTTATAGAGACACTTTTGAACAGTGCTCTATAAAAGTATTTTAGAGCCTGTATGATATAATAAAAGTTCCATAGAAACGAGTTATTTTGAAACATTTAATAAAAAAATCTATTTTTACATTCGAGTAATATTGAGAATAATATCGAGAACTTTGTTAAAATTGACAAACAAAATTGTTCTGTTCTCCAACAGAAAAAAATTTTATTTTTATTCTCTTTACAAGCTCTAGTCTTCTTCAAACGTTGACTTGCAAGAACGTTTATTTACCGGAACCTGTTGTCGAGAAAGTTGTACGATTCGCGTTTAAAACAGAATCTTGTTCAATAGTTCCCCGACTTTTTCGATCCGTAATTCCAAACCACTCTATGGCGAGCAGTAATTTCAAAGTATCCAAACATGTTCATGGGCGGTAGACTATGGTAATGTATCTGGCGTTCGCGGCGTTCTGGAAGCAGGGGACGATACAATCCGGATACGAATAACGTCTGACGGAGGAGCGACTGAAACGGAAACGACGACGTGTACAGATAAACGCTCGCGTTAGCCCCGTTATCGGATACACGTGTCCTAATGCGCATAAAACGACGCGCGCCCGCTCGTCATTCGAAAGCCATTCCGGCTGAGAGCGCATCCTGCAGGATGTACAAACGATCCTCCCCTCCGCCCCTCGTTCCCCATCCCTCGAGGAACGTGAGAAGCCAAGGATCCGCGAGTAATTTAAAGTTGCGAGCTTGTTGCCAGACTTCCAGGTCTTCGGTAAGTTGCCTCCAACTGAATTATACTAAAATGCACAGTAAATTATATTCCTCTGTAAATTCCATTCCTCCCATTTCCGTGATTGTCGACCGCCAATTTCACGGTTCTTTGTCCGTTAACCAACTTTGATCTCGTTCTCTTTTGAAGTAGAATTTCCAGCCGGTATATGTCGGGCTCCATCTTACATCAATATCTTCTCTGTTTTTGTAGGGGAAGTTCGTCTACTTACCAGTGGTATTACCTCTCAAAGATTTTTACATCGTTACCTTCCTCACGAGGTTAAATCGTATAATCGACCAGCAGGTTTCGTGCCGGAGGGCAGATCAACGAGCAATTTGTTTTTTTTTTTTTCCCCTCTCCCGTTCGAAAACAAATAACGAATCATCGAACAACGCCCGTTTCAACCAATTAAGTCGAATCGATTCTGCAGTTTCTCGAATTGAATCTCGTGAAACAATGATTATTTATATCGCTCGTTCTCTCCATTGGAGCGGGTGACAACGAAAAACTCCATTTCTCACGGTATTTACCAACGATATGGCAACGATCTGATGGCTCTTTATCGTTCGGCGAAATCTGTTCAGCCCTTTTCGTAGCGCGCCGCAGTCGCATCCGCGAGTAATTAAGTGTCGAGCTCGTCCCCGTAGTCTCGTCGAGCGGTTTCGATTCAAAGTTTCACGTTTCGGCTGACAATACGTGGCCGGAATACGAAACGAATTTCCCCGGGGTTATTCGCGGGTTCGCAGCCCTGGAAAATGGCACGGCCACGAGATTCTGGTTTACGTTCGACTCGCGCGCTCGCGGAACCGAGACAGCGAAACGTACATACATTTAAGTTCATCAGCCGGCAACATCTTGCTTCGCTGGCACTCGCTGTTTACGCAACAGGTTTACGATCGTGCGCGACGCGACAATTTTCTGTTTGCCCAGCGATCAATCCGCGTCCCTTGTCGTTGGCGTATTTCCAATTTCTCTGTTGGCAGTGTGGAAAGCAAGTAACGAGCACGACGGTATCTCCGACGCACGCGAAAGTGATATTTCACCGATTTCTTCGGACATTAGAATGTTACTTTACCGACCGTGTTTTGGTACCACTTGCACAAATAGTTGTCGATAACTAATCGATAACTAAGATGTACGAGGTGTTTGTCTCGTGACATAATGCCGGATGTTTGTTCTGAAAGTTGATAGGAAAATGAAACAAGGTTTCAAATTGGGACAATTGACGTTCAAACAATTACGAAATGTTGCCGAAAGGAGATCATTGTCAAGGGGTTTGAAGCGGTCCAAAGATATGAAATATCGTTCCGGCTGAACCGAGTGATTTCAATTATTCCAGCTATCCGTGTCTGTGCAAGATTCGATACCAGGTATCCGAAATCGAGGTTACTGGGTTCGTGGAAGACTATTTCCTCGAAATGCCAGGAGGTCCACATAGCTGTTAGCTGCATAGTGATTTCGCATGGGGAGTCGACGTCGACGAGGGGGAGGGGGAGGGAGGGGGGACGAAGTGTCCAGCCGGAAGCGTGTTCCCATCGAGGCGTTTTCCTTCGTTCGCTAAAATCGACTCGATTTTGCATAACGTCACGGTGCCACGTAACGCTGACGCAACACCGGTACTCCAATCCTCTCCGAGGCGATAGCACTTGCGTGCAAAGAGGGTGTTTTTTTCTTTTTTTTTTTTTTTTAGAGGAGGACAGAAAAAAAATATATATATATATAAAATATATACGACACGATAGGCGATAGCACACAAGGCAGCAGATCCAGGATTTTTCCCTCACGCAGCACAGAATATATGAGAAAAAAAAAAAGAAAGAAAGAAAGAAAAGAACGAATATACTTCTAGGGACGCAGGCTTACGTCGTACGATTTACCTTCTTTTTTTCTATATCTCTCTCTTTCTCTCTCTCTCTCTCTCTCTCTCTCTCCTTCGTTTTTAATGCATGCCAATTGACAAGCCGGTTAACCGCAACGGGAACAAATTCGACGACACACGAATTTCTTTCTTTCGTGCAAATTTTTCCGGAAGAGCACGTCTCACCCGAGCGGCGGTTAAAGCAACGCCAAGTTAATCCGTCGACGACGAGTCGGTAAGGAAAGAAAGAAAAGAAAGAAAAAAAAAAGCAGGAAAGAAAAGAAAAAAAAAAGAGAATGGAAAAAAGAAAGAAAGCGGACAAAAATTGCTAGAGATAAGAAGGACGAAAGATGCTGAAAGAAAAAAGTAAATGAGAACTTGATTGTTGTTATTATACTTTCTTTTCTCGTTGTTTCATCGTTACTATTACTGTACATCCTCACGAATCATCAGCATTTGTAACGAGTTCGATCTGTAGATCTCTAAAGTTGAGCGTGCTGATTTCTAATTAGAATTAGAACACTTTTCGCTGTTCGGCCGTTTTTGTTTTTTTTTCTCGTCTTCTTCCTCTTCTTTTTTTTTTTTTTTTTACTAATTGCGAACCAATCACTGTGTTCTTTCTTCTGTTTCTTTCTGTCTCACTGTTACAACTTTCTGTTCTCGTTTCACGCGTGTTCATTAGTTAGAGTATCATTTCATTTTCTACATACCGTTGTTCTTTCGTACTTTGTTGTTCTCTTTCTCTGATTTTTTCCTTCGTTCTTTTTTGTTTTTGTTTTGTTATTTTGTTTCCTTCTCTTTTTTGTAGCGGTTTCGTGTACCGAGAGATATTACTTATATTGTGCTCGTGTAATGCAACAAAATGTCTGTGACGGATGTAAAAGCATGCGTTCGCGTAGTTAACGTTTACTGGTTCAGTACGTTTTCTCGTACGATATTTTTCGCCTACCTTTATATTTTATCTCTATATACATATATACGAGCAACTTGGAATGACGATGGGAAGAATGTTGAGAGTAACGTTTACATTATTTACTGTGTGCCTCGAAAGTTTTTCTGCGTGTCTTTTTCTTCGTATATACTGATCATAAGTAACGTTCTTTTGAGATAGGTACCGTTTGCGTTGTTCGTACGTTGTTCTTTAAGATACCTTCTATTATTACATTATATATTCACATACTTTTTTACTTGGAATGATGCCTGCCGTGTTTTTTATATTTTTCGAATACGAACGAAATTCTTGCATGAAACACTTCACCTTCCCGACCACGGTATACTTTTTCCCTCCCCCGGTGTAATTATCCCAGCGAATGCTCGTTTTCCCGTTTAGTTCCCACGAAACGATCAGTTTCTTTCTTTAAGGCACTTTTACAGTTTTCTTTCTGTTCGCTCTCCCCTTTTATCGGACGCACTTCTCGCCTATCACTTTATGCAGATAAGTTTCTCCGAAACGAGCACGTTTTCATTTGAAATTTTTATTGTCACGAGCAAGTTACACGACACAAATGCACGATTCTCTTTTGTTTGATTCTTTCTTCTCTTTCCTTTTTTTTTTTTCATTCCGTTCGATAAAGTCTGTTTTTCGTTTCTCGTTTTCGTTCCGCCTACTCTGTTCTTTAAATCACTGCTCGAAATTATTCCTTGGTAAATTAGTATTTCCTCCGATTGAGACAACGAATGAGTAAACATTTTTACCCCTCTGAATACGACATCGTCAATTCAAGTAGTCTAAAACACAGACACCACCGGTTTTGTTGTCACACGTTGTTGTTCACACATTTCGTAGCGATGCGTAAGTATGCAGTAACATCGAAACCCGTTGGAGATGCATGCGTTTCACGACACACGAGTATATTATACGCGGTAACAAAACAGCAACACGCGACAGCAAAAAGACAAACCTAGTAGATAGAGAGAAACGCCTGGGGATCGGTGATCCTCGTCGACGAGAAAGAAAAAAAAGAAAAGAAAAACCGTCGTCGTCCGATCGTTCCAACGGAGGACAGGGGGCGGCCGGAGAACAATGGCTAATTAGTCGAACAAAGTATCATTTTTCACGTTCAACTAACGGGAGACGCGCTGATTGAACTTGATGGCACGTGTTCCCTGTCGCGTGTCGAAATTAGTAATAGAATTTTCAAAGAGACAGAGCTGTATCGAACCAAATAGAACAGTAGTCATTTTTATCGACCCTTGACCGTAGACAATCCGTAAAAAGAACTGTCGTTAGTTTTGGTTGTTCGATATCCTGTACTTTCAATCAGGTTTTGTCTCATAGTCTCGAAATGTTTGACATTTTATCAGAATTACTGTACATTTCGATAGATTTCCCGCATGCCGTGTCCCAAACTCCGCGCGGCGTAGGGTGACAAGAAAGACAAAACGCTGCTGAAAACTGGATGAAACGGCTCTGTCTCGGTTGCCTCGAGTCTTTCAAACGAGCTGTGTATGTCAGCCACGTGCCAGGTTAGATACGTGCGACCGTACGGTCCGTCGAAACGAGGCATTGTCGGCATAGAGATAAGAGGTTAAAGGGTAACGGAGGGAGGACGTCAGGTCAATTGACGGCCAGCATCGGTGTAATTGACGCGACGATTCGAAACGCCCCCTCCAAAGGAACCGTCGGACGAAGGCAGAAGCGTCGATCGGCGAGGATCTCGCCGAGAGAACGGGCGACGACGAAACGCTGGTCCGTGAGGAACTGGCGATCCGGAAGATTTTAAGCCAATTGGATCGTATTTTTAGTGCCGCCGCGGTGGACGGTGGAACCTATCGACCAGAACGCCGTTGTAGGTCACGGCGTCTCCATTGCCTGTCAGGCTGAAGGATTCCCCATTCCGACGGTGACTTGGAAGCAATCGATCGGTAAGTCACGACTCGACTTGAAAACCCGATGGTGGCCCAGCGAAAGCTCACGTACGAAAAAACTGTTCTCTGTCTTACTGAAAACCATCGGGGCTGACGTATGTCTGGCATCGATCTTGAACGATGATGCGATTAGTCACCTTGCCCGGCTGTTTTCGTACCTTTATCTGTCTTATCCGGCCCCTTACCTTCGATCTTCCTTCGAAATTTACTTTGTCCCTTTCCCGTGATTTATCAAGAATTACATTTCCAAGCCTTCGAGGGAGGGAACAGTACTATTTTCGCTTACTCTCGAGTACTTTTGGTTATTTCTCTTTTTTAAATATCGGTACAGTTTCGTGAGAATTACGAAATTATAAAAAATTCTGTTGCAAAGAGGAGGTAAAAAATTTTGACGTTGTACACACGGAATTCGGAATTCAATTCAGACGCCAAACACCTCTGTACGTAATATACACGACGTCCGATCCAACGTCCGTGCGTTTCCTTCTTCTTTATTTTACAATTTCTTACACTCGCTGCGGGCAAACTATGCGGATATTCTCGGAACACGTTCACAGTCGTGTCAGCACCAAACCTTCAGTATTAATGCATTCCTTTGCACTTTAATCTCAAGCAGTCGGACCATCCGTATATCTTTATCACTTGAAATTCAATCACTCGCCGTAAGAAATCATTCATCTTTGTTCTCGTATTTTTTGCTAATCTTCTCACGCATACTCTTCTCTTTTTGAAATAATTTCTCTTTTAGGACAAAGAGATGGTTATTTTTCGTTTCAAAGTTAAAATAACTATCCGATCGTATCGTGAATGAAAGAACAATAGAGAAGAGAAAGTTTTCGAGACAAAGTGCCACTGTCTAACCAGACGTTCATCCACTCGCTGTAAGAAATCATTCACCATTTCTTTTTCACATTTTTCTGTCAATCTTCTCGTGTATACGTACGTGTTTTCCTCTTCTCGGAAAACCTTTCGAATAAAGACAGATAATTACCTTTTTAGAAAGTTGAAATAATTATCCAGTCGTGCCGTAAATGAGGAAAGAGCGTAGAAGAGAAAGTTTCCGAGACGAAGTGGCATTTTCTGATTAGAGCTCGTCTATCCTCACATTTTCCTTTCATGTTTTTCGTTGCTTCCGCTGGCTGACTTATGACGGCGTGCTCCACTATGAAGGGCTTCTTTGCCGTAAAGAAACTCATGACGCATAAATTGCGCTTCGAGTATGCGGACAAGCTGCTGTAACAGCTTGATGCCACTTAATAAGCGGAATTTGATGCTTGCCTTTTGACAGCTCATTTTCCTTTGCGGGGAAACTCGGTCGATCCTTATGCGCCAGGTAACTCGTTGACGCTAACGTGACCTTTTGCGAAAAAATTTCATTCGCCAACAAACGGAGCTTTACGTTTTATTCTCGATTGATCGGTCTCGCGTAAACGATCTCATTTAACTAATTAACAGCGGGATCGCCTCTCACGAACCACGCCAGTAGCAGATATTCGAAATTGTATCAACGAAAAACAGCGAAGCTTTGTTTCGTAATCAGACCAAAAAGAAGATTATGATCAATCACGCAAGATTATGATCCGACGTGGAGTAATTTTCTGCCGATAGTGCGTCAAAGCGGACTCGTGTTTTGTGTACTATAAAGAGTTCGCGCGATATAAAGGTACGTCTCGATCGTAACGGTGAATTTTAATCTGCATATAAAGCGCACTTGGCGGTCAGTCGCGCTTTTTGAATTTTAATCCTAATGACACGCATCTGTCGGAATGAAAGTTTTGAAGAAGAGAAAATTGGCAATACAATTTCAGGCGGGATTATAACCGAAAATATTCCAGAGGAAATATGTAAATGCGGGACTTTGTGGCGCGCGGAGCAAGGAAAATACGGAGACGAGGAGGAATTCTCGCGACGGCGGTGGGAAAAATTTAAAATTCTAACAGACGGGATCGATTCGCAGGTTCGATCTACAAGCACCGAGCCAGCCTTATCATCCGTTGTTGATAATTCTGCCGTTGGAAACGACTGTTGCTCAACCTCGGAGAGATTTATCAACCAGTGACCTTGGAACACACAACTCGGAGAGATAGGATAGATACTTCCAGATACTTCCCCTTTGTGCCGTCTCCCTCTCGAACGAGTTTAATAACTCTGGCTGACTTTTACGCGACGACGATCGATCGGTCGTTCTCATCAAGTTACAGCTGCTGAGTATATTTAACCCGAGGTTGGCAGCGGTTGACGAAGATATCCATCAGAAATTTCGCTGATCGGCCGTTTCCAACTCCTCGTCCCGTTCAATCTGAAATAAGCCATCCGACCCTCGGTAGAATGAAGCGGTAGTACAATTAGTTTCACCGGTTCGTTGCTCGGCGAACGTTACAGCAGTCGCGCCGGGAATGAAATTCCTCCTCTCTTTTTCCTTGATCGCGGCCCATCTGCCCCGTGCTCCACTATGATTCCTCTTCTGTTCCAATTCCGAGGAAAGTTAAATCGCTCATTACACGACGGATACGTTTCGAAGAATTGAGCCAATCAAAATTGTTAAGAGGGCAGGGCAGTTTGATATTTTCAAAAAAATCGATTTTTTGGTTTTTCTTTTTTGTTTTGTTTTAAATAGTAGCTTGAAGTCTTAGAAATAAGATACAAAAGGTCCTAGCCTTTAAAATGACTTATTTTGGGTATAATAATAAATTTATTTTGGTATAAAAAATAAATTTATTTTGGTATAATAATAAATCATATAGAATAACTGAATTTGTATCACTGTTTACAATTTTAAGCAGTATTATAAAGTGTAACTCGTGTGATTCAAATATAATAACTTTTGGTGAATCAAATATTAATATTATTATAAAATGAATTATAAATTAATAATAAATTATAATAATATTAAATTATAATCGGGGACTTGGATTCAATTTAGTTGTGAATTGTAAGAACTGTGAGCCGCGATATATAAATAAAAAAAAGTAAGCGAAGAATACATATGAAAAATATGACATTCTAAAACTTTATACGCGTTTTTCTCGGATCTAGGTTTTTAAAAACGGTGTGCAAGATATCTCGAAATCTAACAAATCGATTACTGTGAAACTTGGTACGTATCTTTGTGTAACATTTACTAGAGATTGACGATCGAACGATTTTTTAATTTTCAACAATTTCGGAAAATATAAACAAAAAAACATAGAAATTTTTGGCATAAAAACAATAGATACATCAAAATTCGATACATCAGAAACAAATAGCTGCTGTTTTCATAATTTTCACAAAAATGAAAATGTTGGATCCCGTCAGTCCCTTGAGAGTATTGTTTACTTTCGAACATTTTTTGCTTTTTTGCTGCAACTAATCCTGTTTGGCTGGCATCACGCACACCGATAGGCAACATAAAAAAAAAGTTATGTAAATGGATCCCGTTAAAAAATTAAATACCCTCTTTGTTTCTTTTTTAATGTTGCTTTTTACAATGCGTTAAAATAAACCGCAAAAGCTCGTGTCAATCAAATATGTACTTTTTTTTTTTTACTAGCCATCCAAAGTATTCGTAACTTTTAGGCCCGTCAAACTGTCCTGCCCTCTTAATCGAACGACTCCATATCGTTGAAATTATACGCAAACGCAACAACAAAGCGTGACACAGGCGTAAACAATTGTAGTAGCAGAGCGGTTTTTTTTTCTTCATTCGCAGTTACCTGCTGTAATTATTTACTTGTTTGTTTTATCAACTATTGTCCGAAATCATTCGTGATCTTTTCGATACGTGGACGAGGTGTCTGTATATCGAATGTCGAAAGCTCGAACTGAAGAAGTACTTTTCAAAAGTTATGTAAAAGGATGCCGTTAAAAAATTAAATACCCTCTTTGTTTCTTGTTTAATGTTGCTTTTTACAATGCGTTAAAATAAACCGCAAAAGCTCGTGTCAATCAAATATGTACTTTTTTTTTTTTACTAGCCATCCAAAGTATTCGTAACTTTTAGGCCCGTCAAACTGTCCTGCCCCCTTAATCGAACGACTCCATATCGTTGAAATTATACGCTAACGCAACAACAAAGCGTAACACAGGCGTAAACAATTGTAGTAGCAGAGCGGAATGTTTTTTTTTTTCATTCGCAGTTACCTGCTGTAATTATTACCTGCTGTAATTATTTACTTGTTTGTTTTATCAACTATTGTCCGAAATCATTTGTGATCTTTTCGATACGTGGACGACGTGTCTGTATATCGAATGTCGAAAGCCCGAACTGAAGAAGTACTTTTCAACCGTATTTTCACGTACGTTGTATCTTTTCACGCAACGCCGGGCTTCCTTTGGACATTCACCCGTTTCCCGATGTTTATTGTATCGGAAAGAATGCCGGATGACGTTGATCCGCCGCAATGCTAACGCTCTCCCCTCGCTCCTGTCGATGGCGGGAGTGCGCGCGACGACACCACGCGAATTCCGACGGATATTCTGATACCTGGCTGAAAAATTCTGTAACGTCATAAACGCGCGTCCCGCGAGGCGCTTGAAATTCCTCGGGAAATTACTCGGGCCGATTCGCTGGATCGCTGGGGAGCGAATTTTTGTCTTTTGATAAAAATTGTTTGACAGAGAAGTCAGGACGTTCGAAAGTCTCTGGATGTTTCGTAGACGAAACAGACGTCAAGTTGTACAAAAAAAATTCGACTTTGCGTGTTTCCTCGAGGGACGGGTCTCTCGATTGACTGTGAGACAATCTTTCGCAACTGTTTACAACGTTTAAAGCAAACTTTGAGGTAATAAATTAATGAAACTTGATGAAATAAATTGATCGATAAATTAATAAATTGAATTTTGATCGATAGAGTATACTCGAAGCGGCGAACGATTCCGTTCGGTTTGTTATTTTTTAATTGAAAAACAAGGCACCTGTACCTCGTAACGAGAACAAATAATACTGTATTTTACACGGTTAATTTTGAATTTTAAACGTTAATTTGAATTTTAAATATTGATTTGCATACATTTGAATCATAAACAACGTGGCTAAATTGTTTCAAAGCATAACAGCGCTTGCTGCCAGAATTGTTTTAGTTTCAATTGCTCTTGAATAATGTGTGTCTGAGCTTATGGAAATCTATATATTCACCGGCGCAGTTGATAACATTAACATAATGGAATCAGGAATTACATATTTCAGAAATTACAACGTGGAATTATTTGGCGATAATACCCGTCCCAATAACACAACAACGTCGTAACAACAAAATGATATTCGTTGTTTCGTTTTGCGTATATTCGTTTCAAGTATCCGTTAGTCGATGATTCTGCTCAAGGAAGGGACAGACATCATATAGAAAATTGAAAGTGCGACAGGGTGGTAAATAGGATGGTGAAAATTAATCTGGCTGGTGTATTAAAATCCTATCAGTCGCGAGGAGATGCTTGACACGAGCAAGGCAAGCTCTAACGAGAGATTACTGGATGGTCTGCTACTGCGGGGGATTAACGCTATAAGTAACTGTGGCACGGACTATAACCGTGCCCATCTTTCCAGACCAACGTCCTCTATTCGACTAGTCGAAACAGTATCGACCACTCCGTGTTCTTTCCTCGAGAATCTATTTCAATTTCACCTTACGATTCGAGTCGTGAGTCGTCTTAAAGAGGAATTCTGAGAATTGAAATAAAGAAGATGGAAATGTTTCGAAGGAAACATGGTTTATACGTTTTCCCTCGTAATTGGGGCAGAAACCAACAAAAGCAGTTGCTCTTGTTCTCCTTGATTGTTACGACGAACGATCAAAATACAGAGTCACTTCAGACGAATAATGGTTGCTTGCCCCCGAAACATCCAGGCGATACACCAGGAGACTACAGAGAGCTGGGATACAGCGGCACCGAGGGAGTTGGGGTTGCTGGAAACGGGTCCTTGGTGATCTCACGGGTATCCAGAGATCATGCCGGCTTCTATCTGTGCCAGGCCAGCAACGGCATCGGCCCCGGCCTCAGCAAGCTCATTCGGCTAACAGTTCACGGTAAAATATTCACGCAACACCGAGTTACCGTTGCTTGGATCTGTGTCAGCCCCCGCGAACTTGGGATTCCGGCCACGACCAGCCGCCCCGAAATTCTTCGTTTCGTGGCCGAATTTCAACCCAACCAACCCGCTATTCCCATTCCCGATCCATACAGGGGGAACGTCTCGCGAGGCCGGTGCAGTTACGGTTTGCTTTCCCTGAAAACAGCGCGTTCCGCTTCGAATACTGTCTCGTATAATCTAACGTCCATGTGGATTTAAGCTTAACTCATCTATTAAGAGTCAGAGCCACGTTAACGCGAAAAAATGTTTCATTAATAATTAGTTTTTAATTGGTACGGTATATATGAAACGAAATTTTCTTTTTTTCCTTTGTTTGCTTTTTTAACATTGTAATTGTTAGAAGAAAAGAATGTTTTTTTTTTTTTGACAGTACGAGACGTTATTTCACTTCTTCGATTTTATTTCAATTAGCTAGCTGAGAGAAACGCGATGATGTAACGGGGAACGTAGACCGTATGTTGGCTGCAGTCGCGCGAAAAAGGGGATACAATTTATGCAATTCGAGGAAAATGGATTTTACATTTTATTGTTCCATCTGATCGTATATTTCTCGGTGAATCGGGCACGCGGATACACACACGTGGAAATGTTTCACTCTTATCTCTATCGACGGTCGAATTTTTAACAGTCACTCTCGACGCAGAAATTCAAAATTTTCTTTCTAAATTTGTAACACGTCGTTGGCGACATAGAGATATATAGTAGATCCTTGATCATCTAGTTCGATCTCTGGTCAACGGGCCGATTAGATTGCGTGACGTTCCTCCGAACGAAAAAAGAGAAATTGAACAGACGAGCAATTTGAAATTCTCTCGAAACAGCGGGCCCTCAAGTATCGGTGAAAACGCAGCAGGAGTCGGTGCGGCGAGGAGAGAGCGTGACACTACGCTGCGAGGCCGAAGGAGACGCACCTCTTGATCTCAGTTGGCGTGCACGTGACAGCAGAGTCGATCCCAACTACGACGTTAGGTTTGTATCGAAATTAATCAAGCCCCTTCCCTCGCACGCACGCCGCAGCTAGCACTGCGAACGATCGATGAGAGTGACGCTTCGATCTCCCATCGATCTCGATTGACAGTGGCACGGCTTAATTGCACAAGTCCATCGAGACAAGCCGACTGATTAACATCGTTCGTGTTCGCGTTCGTCGTCGTCGTCGTCGTCATCGTCGAGGCGAGGTCAGAAGGATCTGTTCTTCGAAATTTTTCCAGTTTTAAGTGTCGAACGTGGGATAACGATAGACGCGATTCAAGCGAGTCTTTCCTCGGGGGGATTCAGACCGGTACAGTACGCTGGTTCCGCTCCACGAAGCGTGTGACTGAGCGCCATAGTTTGGAGAGTTTCCGCGGAACATTTTCCTCAACAGCTCGCTCGGCATCGTGCTCCTTCATTACGAAATTATTCGGCTCATCCCTTGTTGCGTCGCCCGCTAACTTTCGCTCACGCAAAATTACTCGAGCGCCGGCGGTACGGCGGGCGTTTCGTCAATAATTTCGAGCGATGCAATCTCTTAGAATAATATCTGTTAAATCCGCGGAGGGTTTGCGTTCGTTGTTCGTTCATCGCGCGCAAGAAGACGCGATTTATAACCGTCTCTCCCGGGATCGACAAATGAGACGTATGTACGCAGAGTTTGATCGATCATTCGTGGTTCGAGGCAACGAATTTGATCTGTTGTTAAAGTTACTCAGTCGTTTCGTTGACACGCATTTTTAACACAATTTTTTGGTTATTTTCTGTATACGTTCCACGCTGTTTCTTGTAAGTATGTCTTGTAATTTCTGTAACGGTGCAGAAAACTATGATTAATAAGAAAAGTGTGTAGAGTTGACGATCCATTACAAAAAAACGAAGCAATGAATTTAATTTTAAGGTATTAGTTTAACAAACGCGTGATTGAACATTTTACTCTATCGCGTGATTTGGACTATCCTACGTAATATTTCTTAACGATGTCAAAATTAATTTGAAAACATTTTAATAAATAATATTAAATAAACATTTACCAAATAATATTAAATAACAACAATTTGCTCACAATCACAAAGGTATTCTTCGACGAGCTTTGTTGAAACGTGGTTCATCGAAACAACTATCACAGAATGTCGCAACATATTTGCCGAACCATGAATCAAACCTCTTAACAAATTTTACAATGTCCTCTTACCGAATTGAGTCAGCTTAATTAAAACGTCGACACTTTACAAACAAATTTTTCGCTTTACTATGAAAATCATAGTGGAATGTATACGGATAATACTTATCCAGGGCTTGCAATTAACGAAACTGTCTCTTCTCTAGATACACGATAGACAACCAGAAGGTGTCAGGAAGGTTGATCTCCGAGCTGCGAATCACCCAAGCGAACCACATAGACCGTGGGGACTACATGTGCGTAGCGACGAATGCTTATGGGCATGCGAGGGCGAGCATCAAACTGCTAGTTCAGGAGCCACCGAATTTTCCCCGAAATTTACACATAGCCGAGCAAGGGAGCAGATCGTTGCTGTTGGCCTGGTCGTCGCCGTCCAGCGAGCAGGATCCAGCGCACGCTAGCTCCCCTATAACCAACTACATCGTGCAGTACAAGGAGGCGCAGGGTAGGTTGACCGATTCGCTTTGTCCGCCGCGTGCGGTACACGGCCGCCCACGATGTATCGGGTGACACGTGTGATTATCGATCGAGGAACGGCCACTGTTGTCCGATGCACGTCACTCGGGACGCTGTACGTCGCTGCAAGCTCGCCACCAGATATTTCGGCTCCTTTTTTCCGTTTCTTTTTCTCTTTACCGTCTGCAGAGATCGACTTGGTGTTTCAGTTGCTATTAAATTTTTCCGTCAGCGAAAATTTTGTTACATCAGTTATTGTACACTGATCGATCGATCGGCAGTCCTTCGAAAGCGTGTCGGGACGTGTCCCCAATATCAATTAAGTTGGAACGATTTCCGATCGTTCGACACGAAGTTACCCGGCCCTTTGAACCGCAATTGGCCGTGTAATCGCCGGAGAGTTAGTTAACAAGGAATTATGAGACTATGATTGCAGAACCGTTCGAATTAATTAAATTAGACGGCGGACAATTAGACTGCGACGATAAAGTAACAGACGACGAGGCTGTGTAGTCTTCGATGTCTTTCGCTCGACGCAAGAGCGTGTTGTAGCGTGAAGAATTTGCCGAGACCGGTGACACGGATTGACAGTCGCTGAAGGGGTTTAATTGAAACGAATTAGAACTCGATCGGTGGTTCGACGCGGTGGTATATTGGTTCCGTTTGATGGGATGGAAATGAGAAGGTCACTGGACCGAGCTTTCCTGCGACGTTGCAGCTTGCCTCGAGACAGAGAGGCGTGTCTCGGGAGCGTGTACCACGCCGTAACATCGATTGATCGTAGTCAAATACGCGTATCAATGGCGCACGGATCGGCGTTCGCATCGGTCCGTGGGCATTGTGCCGACTCGGAATTGGCAATCGGGATCAAATTCACGCTGCGTACTATGACGCCAGACTCATTCCTATCACTAGATTCGCATACACTCATAGTGCACTCGTTGACGTTCCTAAGCGTGTTCACACCACTCTCGCGAGATCGGCGACTGTTCCTTTGGATAAGAGAAATGTTCTCACAGGCAGTTTGAGGTCGAAAGACGTATTTTCTTGTTCTTTTTTCCTTCTTCTTTTCAAGTTTTCCTCTCTATCCTCCGTTTTTTGAAAATCGCAACTGCGAAAATCTTCAACAAAGATTTGCGAACGTTCGATGCAAATGTTTGGGTGCGATTGTTCGACCGTTTCACGCAGGCTCTTACTGGCGCCTACCTGTCCCGTAATACGATGAAAGCCGATATGCTAAAGGAAATAGATATGCCAACGTTGTTGGATTACAGTCAGGTTGCTTAACTTTGGCAACGCTATACCTCTATCCCTTCCGGTATGGGTGCAGCGTTTCTCAAATTTAACCATCCTCTTACTGGTTCGCAGATGGTCGACGCTCAACTGTATCACCGCTGGTAAAATATGAGAGATTAGCTCGCGGCTGGTGAAAAACCTTAATACGCTAGTGGTGTATTAATTCCAGATATTCGAGAGAAAAGCCGAAGATCGATCCGGAGGAGACTAACCTATTTCTTCGGGCCAGATACAGATAACTGAATCTTTATAGAACCAGGTGATTTATTGCTTTGACATCTACGCCGGGAAAAAGACTCTCTGAAAGCTTCTTTGGAATTCAAATAGCGACCTCTTCTCGCCTTGTGACGGTGTTATCCCGTCGCGTCATCCAAGATCCATCTTGGTGTTCCTCGACTTTGCCTCGATGTCGTTTGACTCGTTCATAACGATTTCCGCGGGGAACGTGTCAGACGTTATTCATACCCCGTCGCTATCGTCACGTCTTCGTTATTTTTCACTGGATAACTATTCTCTACTCGTAACTCCTTTCCACCTTTTCTTCCGTCATCGACTCGATTCCCTCCACCCTCGCCGAGTTTTTCTTAATCGATCGCGAAACTCGAGCACCCCCAGCTCGTTTCCCGAGCGAGCCAGCCAGCCAGCCAGCCAGCCAGCCTGTGTGAAATTTGAGAAACGCTGTGCCCGGAGTCCTCTGTCCGTTTGCCGATCGATGCCGCGACACGACTCGTGCTCAAAGCCAGGAAAAGGTTCTTATAGATTTCTGGATATTTAGGGCAATATCGCCTCACGGCTGCCGACCGAGTGCCGCCGTCCCGGAGGAGCCGAACTGGAGGGCTCGTTTCGACTCGATTCAACTTACTTTTCCCAGCCTCGTGTTCTATACATCGATGCAGAATCATCGGCGACGATCTCATGCATCGACGCGTTCCAATCGCTCGAGAAGCTTCCGCATGCGGGAACATTTCAAAAAAATTTCATGCGCGAACGGCGATTTCAAACGTACAATTGGCATCGAGTATGATTTAAACGTTTTGTGCAACGTGTTATTCGCAAAATCTCCAAACTTTCCGTGTACGTACATACGTTTTTCACATTTGCATTTACTCGTAGTAGTTCTACGCATCAAAATTTTCTGATGGATTTTTCCGTCGTGAGTTTTCGCCACAGTGGTAGGGGAGAATTTCATTACGCGACCACGACAGTTTTCTTTTGTTTACACGAATTTCCTACGCCCGGTCTCTATATTTTAATTGCTTTCCATCCACAACCGGCACAATCGTCGTTTCATTACGGGCCCGGCCGTCGGAAGGAGTTTGACTCGTAATATCTCGACAGTGCCACATTAAGACTCCATTATTGAACTGTCAAGCTGGATCTCAAGTTTAATCAATAGCCGGTCGGCTGGTTGGTTGGTTGGCTGGTTGGCTGGCTGGCTGGCTGGCTGGCTGGCTGGCTGCAGAGGCAATCGCAGGCAACGAAATTATAGCGCGATATAGCAAACAATGTACAATCAATCCGGGATAGCGATCGCACGTACCAGAATTTCGTGGTTTCTTTCGCGTTCGTTCGTCACTGATTGGACCGCGCGGACCATTGGTCGACTCGTGCAACTAGCTGCGCAGTTTCCAAGGCAGTTCTCCACCTTCCGATCGACTTCCGCTTCTTTGCCGGAATCCTCCTGGCTAGAGCAGAGCCGTTGGCCGACCAAAATAATAATAAACGACGATCCCTCTGAGCGGGCGCGACACCGGCCAATTCGCAGCCCCAATTCGTTTTTACATTTTAATGGGAAAATTAATTTCGAAGCGTCGACGGGGGAGTCTCGGCTCTCTCCCTTAGCTCCTAGCCGGTCTTTCGGTCGCGGACTGCAACGTGTACACTCGCGGAGGCGAAAGTTTTTCAATTTTCGCGAAAGCCTCATCCTCCGGCAGTTTTGATAGCCGACGAATCAAACGAGTATTGTCACCGGGTGGAGAACCGAGCCGCGAGTCTGCGTTCGACAGTTATTCGACGATATTTAATTACGTCGCGCGGAACGACCCGCTTCTTTCTCGAGCAATCGAGCTAGAGGCGAGAGGAGCTGGTTATATCGAACGAAGCGAAGAATGGGTCATGGTATTCACAAAGCCACACGCCGCAGAAAGGAAGTCGAAGTTTGACGCAAAGTCGATGTCGTCCTTCTTCTTCTTCTTCTTCTTCTTCTCCTCGCTTTCTGTCTCCTCTCTTTATTTTCTCCGCCGCTGGGGAGATTCCTCTTTTGAACGCGCGCAAACTCCATCCATCCTTCTTCTCCTTTCCTCGGCCCTCTTTGTTGCTCTCTCCTTCTCCGCCGAGGCATCGCGCATCCGCCCTCAGGATCCACTCCCTCGTTAACTTCGGATGTCCTCATTTACGCCTAATCGACTCGAATCGCCTGGCCGCCGCTAAATTATCGAACTTAACACGTGGAAAGGCAGCGGCCTGTCGTGGTGTGAACGCGCGTGAAACACGTTTTCAGGGCAAGCACCGAGTCGGGTATTCGCTATCACTCACGCTATCACCCCGAGATTTCTTGTTGCTACCACTTTCCACCCTTATCGATGCATCGACCGTGCGATCTCGAACGTTTCATCGATCCACGGTCGACGACAAATATCGTCCTTTTTCTTTCGTGCCCTCGAAGCTCGAGGTTCAAGTTGAATGTACGCGTGTGATTTTAATTATTCATCCTTACCGATTTTTCGGCCACACGCGGGTTAAAGCGTCGTAGCAATGAATTTTTCATCCGCTCGAACGAGTATTCGAGGGCACGCGGTGAAAAAAGAAAAAAAACATACGCAACACGTATATTGGAAATATATTGCGTTCTCGTTCAATCACGGTGGAATACGTTCGATTAACTTGTTTTGAAACTTCGAAAACACGTGGCATCGCTTTGTTAAACTTTGCTCTCTCTCTCTCTCTTTCAGTGATTTTAAAAAAAATTTCTCCTTTCTTTCTCATTTTCTTTTTCCTTTTTTTTTTTTTTTTTGGATGTTTTCGTCGACTGCGGACCGTCTGTTTGTTCGCACGATCGATTTTTCGACTGCTTCGAGGTGGATTACAGTTGCCTCCCGGTTCGCTAGATTTCTGTCAGTTAGATTTCTTTCTTCGGATGGGATAACTTCGCCCCAACGTGGCGTCTATCGCGACGTTTGACAAACGCTGTCAACGTCGTTGCTCTCGTGTCAGCGGCGACGAAAACTGGAAACGAAAATTGATTAATAAAATCGGCGAGAAAGGAGACGCAACAGTTGCGTCCTTGGAAGCTATTCCGCGAAAAGTTCCTCCCTTTCCTTCTTTCACGCAAGTTTCCCACAAACTGCAAAGGCTTTCGAGAGGAAAGGAAGTTTGCCGACGTTATTTGAATACACGTTGCGACGGGCGTTCAACATAGACACATCGAGTTTAAATTGAATTCGATAAACTTTTCATCCTGCAAGTTTCGGAAGCTGATCGAACTTCGCAACGAGGAAACACGATCGTTGCCTCTTCTTTGGGAATTTTTTCCCCTTTCGCGCCGCTGCGAGTGCAACGAAGGACGCGATGAAAAAGAAACGATACTGAAAAAACGCGGCGCGCAGTTTCACCACGAACGTCGATAGAATGAAAGAAAAAAAGAAAGAAAGAAAGAGAGAGAAAGAAAAAGGAAAGTAACTGTGGTAGCGACTATCTCGGGGCGAAAGTTCGATAGATAGCTGTATGTATCGTGCGACGCGTGAAAGCGGCGCGTCGTAAATCCGTCGACCACCTTAGCGATCAACGATGCACAAGCCCTCTAAGCGTTGTCGTTGCCTTTTGCCTGGAAAGACGTGTGGCATGAGCACAACATGCAGAAGATGGTGGCAGGGGACAACACGGTCGCGCTGGTATCGCCTCTAAAACCGGCGACTTCCTACCACTTTCGGGTGCTTGCGGAAAATCATCTTGGAACATCAGCGCCAAGCGACATCCTTCATGTCAGTATCAAACATTTCAGCATATCTCAAAGAAAAACAAACAAAAAAAAAAAAAAAAAAAACAAAAAAAAATGCAAAAGAAAGAAAGCAATTTTTATCATTTTGTCACATTATATTCATCTGTTCTCGTTCGGCTCGAGCACGACCGCCATCGTCGTTTAACTTTCTTATGTGTCTCTCTTTCCACTCGGTCCACGCCAACTCCGCCCGATCGAATAATATAACGATCGCATCGACGAAAACCAACGACGCGACAACAGGCCCAAACGGACGGCGAGATCCCCGGCGGACCGCCGAGACACGTTACCGCCGAGCCCTTAGGACCGCAGCAAGTGAAGGTCACCTGGCAACCACCGGATCGATCCCTCTGGAACGGTGAACTTCTCGGATACACCATCAGCTACGCCAATCTCGGGTATCGTTATCCGCTTACGGCTGTTTAGAATAGTTGTCCAGCACACTCCGGGATCGTCGAGTTTTGAGGGAAAGAGACATCGTCGAGTCTTGGTCGATTATCGTGGCAGTCCCGCGTTGACAATGGGCCGACGATCGGTTCGCGTTTTCCGCCGCCGCGGATATAATTGCCTGGCGATTTTGTTCTCGCGAGTGGACGTTTCGCTTCGCCAATTCTTTTCGTTGCTTTTCACTTTTACGAAAAAAAAAAAAAAAACGTCCAATACAGGTCCACGACGTTCGCGCTCGCGATTATTCAACCGGATTACGAACCCGTGGGACCAATTTCTTTCCATTATAACGAATCTAACTCTGTATTACGATATTACGATTACTAAGGGAACTCAGCGAACCTCGGCGAGACCTGAAATTTCTTCGAATTCTCGTCGAGAGATTTTCGAAGAACTTGGACAACGTCGGCAGAGACTCGAACGATATTCGTCGTTAACCATTCCGAAACGATGGAATTCCTTCGCTGTCGGGATTCCACGGATTCTCGATTATAATTCGCGACGAAACGCGGCTGGCGGACTCGCGTACTCTCGTCTGCGAGAAAAGGAAATTTCATATCGACTGAGAATATATCTATATCTATATATATATATATATATATATACGTCAGAAAGAGGTGAAGGAAAGTTGGAAGAATCAGAAGACTATTTTTCGCTCCAATTTCCACGGGGGATGGGTTTGAGTTCCGCGCGTTCCTTCTCGCGCGTTTTATCTTTCCGCACCGAGGAACATCGACCGTGGCTTTATTTCAGGGGGAATGATCAATCGGTGAACATCACCAGAGTGGGAATCACGGGAAACGGGGACGGTTCGTACGATTATAGGCTAACCGGCCTCCGGAAGTACACCCAGTACAGCGTGGTGGTGAAGGCGTTCAACAATAAAGGCGACGGCCCAGGATCTGACCCGGTGACGGTGCAGACCCTCGAAGACGGTGAGCGAACGACATCAAGGTTATTTCCCTTTTTATTTTTGTTTTTTGTTCGTCTCTCTTCGTTGCATCACTCACACTCCCTCCCTTTTCCTCATTTGCTTGTTCTTTCAGTTCTTAGCGTGTGTCTTGTTGTGTAGTCGTTTTTAAATTTGGAATTTTCTATTTTCTTTTCTTCGTCGTCTTATTAACGGCCACTGCTGTATCTCTTCATATTCTTCGTTTTTAATAGATAAGATCGATATTCCCGAATTAGTAGAATTTGACACGTTGAGTTCCGAAGTAAAATGGGACTTTGCTAATGTAAACTTCAACGATACCGTACCGAACTCGCAAATGCAAATTGCTTGCTTCTGCAAAAGAGAAAGAATGTAGAAATTGTCCCGTTTTAATCTATAAATGCAATTACTCTCCGAAACTATTCGCCATTTGAAAAATGTCTCGAATGCATCGTTTTTCTATTTTCAGAGAGCAGTAATTTGATTCGTCTCTAGATAGACGCGTAATTTTACCCGTATCAGTCGATGTGGCACATTTCTAGATTAACCAATCTACACCTAAAACTCTACAAGATATTTCTTATCTAAAATCTATGCATAAAAGACAAGAACATTGTCGTACTTTTGTACGATAGACTTTGTGAAATTTACTTTATAAAATAATACTTTTTTTTTTTAGTGGGAATGGCTTGCTGCTTCGATTGACGCAAAGAAAATTACACGATTACACCTGAAAAAATAGACCTTCGTATCTCATATACACGATCCATCTACAAACTAAGACTCTCTCTGGAAAAAAATACATATTTGTTTAAATGACGAATAGTTTCGGAGAGTAATTGCATTTGTAGATTAAAACGCAACGCTCCGTGTAATTTCTCACGTTCCTTCGCCTGTAGAATAAAATACATACGCAAGTAGATGAAGCAACCAAACTAATCTGATCGTTTTCCTCGCGAATGAGAAATACCTTGTTCGGGTATTTTCGAGTTGTAACGAGGTCATTCTCGCCCCTGCCTCGACGAATCGTGATAAAGGATAATCGGTTGACTCCGAGCAGTTCCCGGATTAACGTGCAACAAAATGCGGCGCGTTCTCGGTCGCTGATGAGGCCAGAGGTCCTCCTCGTGCTTCGCCGCGGAACGGTGGAAATTAATTTTCCACGGGAGCAGTTTACAACTGCGGGGAGCCGCAATAACACGGGGGCGCGGATGTGAAAAAAGATTTGCATGTACGCCGCGTCTCGCAAGGCGGGGCTCATTAACTTACGCCTCCATTTTTCACCCCAATGACCTGTTGTTCTAACTTGTTGAGTTCCAACCCTTCCGAGTATCGTGCCGCGTACCGCGCGCGCGGTAAAAAACGGAAGCCATCCTCGTTTGAAACGATTAAGCACGCGACAGCGATACATCCCCCCCCCCCCGGCGCTGAGAAAACTTCCGCGGGGGGCCATTTGTTTGGTGTTACGCCATGCCACGAGAATATTTCCAACGAGAAATTCACGCCCCACCTTCCATTAAGATCTATGCGATCCTGTTATCATCCCGCTGTCTTTTATTTCCCTCGAGTTCTCGCGTTACGACGCCTACACGGATACAACGCCAACTCCCCTTAAATTGAACTATTAGGAAAATTTTCGAACGCGCGGCGTGCTTGCGAGTTGGAGGCTACCAGTTACTAGGCTACCGAAAGCAAACTTCGCCGTTTACTTTTCATTAGAGGAAGTTTGCCGATCGTGCAGCGCTGTATCGGTAAATCCGCGTCACCGAGGTAAAATGTTTCAAGATATTATTTTCGAGAGACTAGACGTTATCACTTTTGGACTTTGCGAGATTTTCCGTCTGCTCGGCTTCTTGAAGGTGCAACGATGGATGATACGTTCGTCGGTAGTTTGAATTCATAAAGGGAAGATGACTCGAGTGTATTTCGAGTGTATTTATTATGCCGCTGCAAAGAGAATACCGAAAATCCGATATGCAATACCATCTGTGATAAAAGGTGCGCGAGACGAAAGAGCATAAATTAACGTTTAAGTTTAAATAAATCGCGTTAAAGGCGAATCACGCTCGATTCAATCTTAGATTAGAGTGTCTGACTAATTCCACAGGCTACGACCTGAAATGAACTTGAAGGCATCACGTTTCACGTAGAATCGAATTCTGAAAGAGAATTTCGTAATCTACGGCTTGTATAATATTTGCCAATATTATTACGCAAATGATAAAGGCTTGAGACGTTGCGTCTATATCTACAGGTAGCTTACTTCTAAAATTATAAGTATTAAAGATAACGGAATTTTAATAATACCTTCAAACACCACTTAATATGCAAATATCGAGAACTCGAGGGTTTCCTGGCTCAGTTTAGAAACATCCATCCGCCCTATACGCTTAACCGAACTTTGCCGCGAGAGTTGAAGTTTCAACGACGAACATCCACGATGCATGAAATCTGCCCATCACTCGCGCGATTTCCGTGGTCCGTTCCGCTTGAAACAATGGCGTCGCTTAATTGCGCGGTTTTCCTTTGCCAACACTCGAGGAAACGGTCGTGCCACATTTTCCAACGAGACCGTCAACCGGCGATAATCCCCGGCTACAATTGTGCTACGTCTCTGTGAAAAAAGAAAAAAAGAAACAAGAGAAAAGAAAAAAACGCGAAAGAAAAAGGAAGGAAAAAGAGGGAAAATGCACAACAGCGTTTTGACCGTTGGATTTCTCCAGAACAAATTTCTCTCTGTCGTAAGTTCCGTCGAGAGCAATCGGAAACCGCCGTGCAGCCGCGTTCCATTTTCTCTTCCGAGTTTTTCTCGGTTTTGCAGAGAACTCTGCACTGTCGCAGCTGGCCATCGAACGGGCTTCCTTGCAAGGGGAAAAACACCCTCCCCTATTTCGCGTGCCGCGAAAACCACGGACGAGAGTGGATGTATTTTCCTTTGTGCGGAGTGCACGCGCGCGTGCCGCGCCGCTTTTCCTCGTTTGACACTTGACCCAGTGGGGAAAAGATCGCGAGACCCACGCTCTCTTAACGAGAGACAGACGACATCCCTCTGTAGTACGCGCCGCGTGTATCGGTGTACACAGGCAAACGATTTTTTCCGAGTAACGAGCGACGCCGAGTGATCCGTTCGATCGATCGATCGATCGATCGATCGGTCGGTCGGTTCCCTCCCGCGCGGTTTTCTCGCTTCAAGAAGTTGGCACTCGAGGAATCCTACCCTCCCCAATCAGGAACGCGAAAACAATCCACTCGACACCCGGTTTACCTCTTCCCTCGTCCGACCAAGTCGTCGAATTTCCCTCTCGAAACTGAAAACTCCTAGTCACGCCATTTGCCGCGGCCGGTAACCAGAGCCGCGACTCCGTCGTCCCGCCTCCTCGCCTCGGATTTCCACAGAAACAACCCAGGATATCGTAGCTTTCCCTCGCTTTTCCCTCCCCTCCTTCCCACCCGCGAAGGTTAATTTTCACCGGTCGTGGCCAGCCGCCCGCATGCCGAACCTATCCATATAGAATTCCGCATTCTATCTATAGACCACATACACCGTAATGACGTGTATATACAGTTGTATACAAGAACACGGTACGAGCAGCTTTCGCAGCGAGTTGTACAGGTTATACGATTTGACGCAGTTCCAAGCGCCCCGCCGCAGAACATGGCGTGCGCCGCGCTAACCGGTCAGAACATCCAGGTGACCTGGAAACCACCACCTTCCGACAAAGTTCACGGGGTCGTGCAGGGCTACAAGTTGCTGTACGAGGCGGCCAGCGTGGTTCTCGAGCAGCAGGCAGGCAGGGAGACGAAGATCAGCCATGCACTGAGCACCGTGCTACACGGGCTTAGCCCGTACACCAATTACACGGTGCAGGTGCTGGCCTACACCAGGGCTGGCGAGGGTATCGCCAGCAGCCCGATTTCCTGCACCACCGAAGAAACTGGTAAACCATTTCCTACGTTGCTCTATGTATTATTGTCGTGTGGTCACCTGTTCCCGTGCCATGACGAAACGAACACTGTCGCGCCATCGGCAAAGTAAATTTTCGAGTAAAGTTCCGTTCGAAAGAGTCGAGGGTAGGGATAGCTTGCGGGTTCGATCAGTCGGTGCTTGTGCATCGTGCTGTTGATGTTTCGATAGGTCAATACCAGTGTACGAGATACAGTCGGTCAGTTTGTCGTTTTGGGATTGAGATTGGAGGGCTAAAAGGGTGGTTTAGTGGGTGGATCGTGGACGTAAGTCGGCTAGAACCCGGTTGGCTGGGATTATTGAAACATTAATGGGCTGTCGGGCGCTGGTGGTTCGGCATCGGCCGAAGGTACTAAAATTATCGAGCTCCTTGAATTAGCCGACGTTACTCGAAGACCAGATCCTATCGATTTCGATTTTCTGTGAATTAGGTTTACACGAACGAGCAACGTACACCCTTCTGGCCTACGTTTCTGTTTCGTTTAATTGCGTTTCTTTAACCATTTCGTTACGTCAGTGTGCTATCACTTTGTATACAACGAGTTACATGTAGTCGCTTGCTATTTCGCACACTTCGATATTCAGATGTTTCTTTGGTGTCATTTCACGATGTTTCGTTTGTCGCTTGGTTTCATTGTTTCTCACGGGCGAAGCAGTTATTATCAAGAAAACAAATCTATCGTGTTTCATATCTCTAGTCTCGAAAGTCTCGTCTGAACGCTCGTTCAGCGGCAGCATCTCGTGGTGAAACGAAATTTTAATTATAAAAAACGCGAGAAATTGCGCGAACAGCCAGTGTTTTACTACCGAAAAATCGCGGTTGAAATTCCAAAATTACAAAATTCTATTTCCATCGGGAGCGGCTTCGGTAAATATCCCTCAGCCGCTGCGCGGAAGATTTCACCGCCGTTTAACCCAAAAGGAGTTGAAGCTAGAGCCGAAACGTGAGTCCAAAAATTTCTAGCCAAACGCTGGCTCGAACGACAATCATGGCGGTGCTTTGTACCGGAAGCGGGGGTAGGGGAGGCACTTGCAGCCGCGAATTTCGGAGAATTCGGCGCGGCTGTTTAACGAGGGGAAACGAGGAACGAAAAGAGTCAATGACAGAAAGTTTCGCGGCGCCTTTGAAGTTAACGTCGCGCCGAGTGTGGTTCTCGTTTCCCATTCGACGGTGGAAACTCGAACAGCAAGCTGGTTTTCCATTAAACGTATAGCTGCCACACGTGCGCGCGCGCCAGCTCGGTCGAAATTCCGCGAAATGGGTCGCGAATAATTGTATCGCGTTATCGCGAGACTCGTAATAACGCGCGCGCGGCAAACGGGGCACACCGGGGGCGTAATCGAAATTTCGTGTATCACAAAGAAAACGCCCGGCACCCACCCGGGTCAGAGGACGTTTGTCGATGGCAGAAACTCGGCGGCGGTAGTGAATCCCGCGCCTCCCGCCTCTTTATTAACCGATGTTGTTAGCTGCCAAGCACCGATTCGTTTTGAGCCCGTGCAACAGACAGCTTCCGATACACAGCCGAGATTTTTAATTGCGTGTCAATGAGCTGATAAATACAGAGGAGCTTCACAGCTCGGTACAACGCAGCTTTGGCGGATATAAATTATAAAGGGCGGCGTGTTTCTCTGTGTGGATGAAGTTCGTCGATTTTTGCTGAAAAATCGCGTGCGATAAACGAGAGTTAAACGATCGCTGGATCTTAGCGAGTCGCTGCTGCTGTTGTTTAAACGGGGAACGATACTCGTCGAAATTCTACTCGAGAGGATTTTCTTCCCCCTCGAGAACGAGACGAATTCAGGAAACGACGTGCAACGTTAAAAGATTCTACGATGCAACGAATTTCCGAATCTTTGCTACTTGGATTCGGAAAAGGGGAGGCTGAAGTGGAAACGGAGACAGACGTTCTTTCCACCCTGCCGATTCTAAATTTAAACCGTGTCGCGATCGATCATCGACGTTTCCTGTGTTCTCTCTCTCTCTCTCTCTCTCTCTCGTTTTTCTTCTTTTCTCTTTCTCCTGCCCGCTGCACATCCGGGGCAACCATTACGCCCGGCTCTTCTGTTCTTAGTTCCAGACGCGCCGGAGCGCGTAAAGGCCGTGACCAGTAACGAGGACGCGATGGTGATATCTTGGCTGCCGCCGCGTCGGCCCAACGGAATCCTCACCAAGTACACCGTCTATATCCGGGTGTTGGACCAGGGCCAGGAGGTGAAGATCACTAAGAGTTCGTTGACTGCGCAGTACCTGCATCACGAGGCGACCGGGTTGAAGCTGCGCGAGTCCTACGAGGCCTGGGTTACGGCCTCGACGAAAATGGGGCAGGGACCTAGCACTCCGGTCATCAAACTTCAGCTGAGCAGCACTGGTACGTGCCAACGTGCGTCGAACGCGAAACTTCACTTCGCTTCACGTTGCTGGAGAGAAGAAACGTTTCTTCGTTTCATAGCCATCGCTCGGCTGTTTCTTTCTCTCCTCTTTCCCGCATCTCGGAGGGATCGATTCGAGCAGCTCGCTCGATTCGTCGAACGTCTGGAAAATTGGGCCAATGAACGTGGAAGTTTGATGAAAAATTCGTGAGCCACCGTTCCCGCGAGAAACAGCCCGCGCGATGTTGGTTTTGTACCTCAATATTCCATCCTCTCCGCCCTTGTTCCCACCTCTCTCTCTCTGTATCGCTTTCCGTTTTTTCATTCGCTCGAGTTTCGCCGGAGTTTGTCTTTTCACGTTTTTAAAATTCAATTACACACACCGCCGGCGTTTTTTGTGCGCCCGGTTGCGAAAAATATCGGCGCGCCATTGTACTTGTTACAATTTGATTTGAATTTCGTAAAAGTTTGCCATTAGTGCGACAGCGAGGTGTAGAATTTGATTTGAGAAAAAAATGCTTTTGGTGATGGTTATTTGACCAAGCTACGTTTCATGAATTAACAATTACGACGGTTCTGAAATGTACGCTCGCTGCGATTCAATCTCTCTGCGTCTTGTAAAAGCTAAACAAGACGTCCCTCTTCATTCTGCCGAACCGTAATGAATATCGATCTTTCTCGCGGGCTAAATTCATCCGTGGAGCAAAAGTCGCTGATAAATCTTTCAACGACCTGTTCATTGCCTCGTTTCATATGCATAGGATGTTTAATCGACGTTACTTCCCCGCGATTCTTTACGTTTGACTTCGACCTCGGCTCCAAGTTCTTCGCTATCGACGTGACCCCGCCAATATATAGAAGACTTCCGGGAATTATGCATTTCAATCGAAGTGGCCGAGGCCCGACATCGTTCGAATAATTGAAATTTCGCCTTTGCCGAAATCGGTGCTGCAGCCGGCCGTTTCTCGAATGACGTATTAAAAATTCTCTGCTGTCGAACAACGTAAAGTCGAAGCTGGAACGAGAATAGAGAGAGAGAGAAAGAGAGAGAGAGAGTGGGCTAGAGAGAGGAGAATGGACGTCAGGAAAGTTTCGAAAGTGAACTCAAACACGGATCATAGCTGGAGGAAGTTTAACGAAGAGCAAGGATAACCGGGACTTTTAATTAGTTCCAGCAGCTATAATATCGTTCGGGGTACCGTTGCTGATGCCGTGGAGAATGGACGTCAATATGGCCTGTCTCGCCGTCGGTAACCCTCGGCCAACGGTGGAGTGGCGTCGCGGCGACATCAAGTTGCAACAGAAGTAAGTGTGAAACGTGTGCACCGTTGTGTTCACGTGCAACAAAGGAAATTATAAAAAGGAAAATCATAAAGCTCAACTTGCGATTATTTTGAGTGGTCACTGAAGATTCTGAGAAAAATATATCCGCGAAGCAAAATTCTAATAATCGCCGCATATTTTTCCGTTCTAAGTGATCTAACCTTGCTGTCCGTAAATTCCAGTTGAAAAAGTCCGTCGCCAAAATTATAATAAATATTCACAAACCAGGAATTATCAAGAACTCACCACTAAAGTTGAAAAGTGTTGTATAGTACACACAAGAAAAGGATGATGCTACGTGAAAAAGTAATAAATGAAGAATAGGAATTTTTTTTTTCATTTAAGGCTCTGTTTTTTCAGAAAATTTATTAACCGTACTTGAATTTAGCCGATTCTGGACCCTTCTGGACTGTACTGAATAATAAAGAGGAAATAAGTCGAGAGCAAGTAGCGTATAATTTTCTCACAAGACGCTTCGTTTTCGAGGAAACTCGATTTAAAACTTTATCAAGTACACGTTTACTGGACCAATTTTTAACTGGACATATTCAAACTTTGTTTCCTTGAAAATGAGAGCCATGAACGGAGAAAATTTTCCATTTCTCGCTTATTTTCGTAGGTAGAATATCAATTGATCACTCTAGGATTAACGAGATTCAACTGATAAATTTTCAAATTTAATACTCGTCGAAAGTGATGACTTGAACGAAGATTTTACTCTTTATCTTTTATATACTTTTTTTTTATGTAAAATCACTTTCTTCTTGGTTGTACCTGGAACATTGTGTACTTTCAATGTACCTGAATAATATAGAAAGTCTCCAAAGTACAGAACTCATTCTGATATTTAATGATCGAGTTTCCATCTGGGCTTCTCATTTTTTATCACTTGTATGCATATAATTCCGTAAAATTCATCCACGAATCATGGTACTTAAAACACTGCAGGATATGTACGTAATCATGAGTTTTCTACAATAGATCAGACATCGGGCCGGACAACACGTTAACGCTGAGGAACGTTCAGAGGACGCACGAGGGCAACTATTCCTGCCACGTGAAGAATCCCCTTGGCTCCGATGAAATCGCGTACACGCTGCAAGTGCAAGGTATGTGGAACGAAGTCACCTGAAAGGAAAAAAAAAAAATCCCGTCGGTGGTCCAGATTCTTCATCATTGAATGCCTCATTTAACACTAATCGCTTTACCGTGGTGTGTTTCATAATTTTATAAATGAAACAATCCTTCTAATTCGAGGCTGAAATTTTATTGTATTCAAGACAATCCCTTAGGGAGTGGAAATCTTTCTTCACTTCTCGAGGAATTTGAATAGATATTGATTAATAACCTTTATTGATATTTTATTGGTTTCGAATGGGTTGGTCACTCGAGCAGAGAAGAAAAATTATTGTACATTCCGTGTTTTCCAGACGCGATGTTTTACGATTCGACGATCCATGAAATTCTTTAAAAGTTCATACGAATCTATTTTATAGTATTCTATCTTTTTTTCTTTTATGGACTCTATGCATTGAAATTGAGTTGTAAGTTTAGAACGTAGAATGTCCCAATTTTCTTCTAAGCTACGGTTACATGAAAAATGAAAGTAAAAAAAAATCTCGTAAATGCAAATTTACCTCGGTGAGGATAAATCTTCCGGATAGAGACACGCGTAATTAAATTACATTAAATTACGTTCGATTCACTTGCTAGCGGCAAGTACATCCCGCAGCTACGTGAAATCATTTTATTGCTCCCTCTATCCTCTTTGAGCCTTGTCGTTTGAAACTGCGATATAAAAATTCCTTCTTCGCGGTGTGCCATTCATTCGATTTAAAGTTCTTGCATCGGGCCATTTGAAACTCGCGTAAAGGGTTTACCGCGTGTCGCTCGTAACGTTGTTTCACCGAGAAGGGGATAATACCGTCGCGGACAGCCACGATGGTGAAGCGAATCGGGTCAACCAACCGGGCCACGTTGGAAACGCGAATCGACGTCGCCTCCCGGCAAACTTTCGTCAGCCTCGCGTGTGTCGCGCGTATTATCGTGGCAATGAACAGGAATGGGCCGCAGTCGTTCCGAAAAAGCCGGTCGTCGATGGGAAAAAGGTCGGTTTGTTAAAAGTTACGTTCGAACTATTTTCCATTTCGACGGTCATATAATTATTCCACGTCGAATAAAATACGTAACTCAAACACGCTCGTCGTTATAATTGCGCAAGTATTGGAACACTGATGACTGACATTTAATATAACTGTAAATTGAGTGACTTTTGTTTTATTATGACAGTCATTTTATTATGAACTTCGATGGTGTAGAACTATTCGGTAGAATAAAATTTCTTTGTAATCAATTTCGTTCAGTTCCTCGCGAGCTGGATCATCGCGCCAATTTGCCTGACAATTGTCGTCGAGAAATCATTGTTGGCGAATAATTCGATTTGAACTTCGTCGATTATATTCTAGATTTATTTTCTGTACTTAAGAAGATCGGTCGTTTCTCGTCTCTAGAGATGACAGTTAATTCCATCTGAACGAACTAAGCTTAGTTCCGAGTAATTCTGCTTAGCTGATTAACTACAACTGACAACTTAACTAAAACTAACAACTGACTCTGCTCCTCGGTGCTTTCTTCCAGGAGATGTTCGCCATCCATTCCGAACGATTCTAAAGAGAGTCGTCATTATGATGAATTTCACATTTGTTTTCTTCCTTTTTACAACTGGTTAAAAGATACAGATAATCTTGTCAAGGTTAATATTAATTCTTGTGTAAATGTAATTGTGTAAATCTATTTGTTTTAGTTGTCATTTAATTTATGATGATTCGTATGTAGAATATCCTGATAGAAATTGTTCTAGTGTCAATAGATTGATAATCAAAGTCAAGTTTATATGTAACTCCTTGTCAATGATTCAATATATACTTAGAGCTGGTGTGGGTCGAATACTTTTGCCAGAAACAGTTGGTCACGTTACGAGGATCGAACGTGGAACGCGACGACGATACGATTTCCCTGTCGTTCGAATCCTCGCGGTCGTACGTGACGACGGATTTCAGGGAAAATATGTTCGCCGCGACGTGCGCCGAGTTTTCTGATTTCTCTTCCTGTCGCCGGCTACCGTCGCTGTATCTCAAGCTGAGCAAGAATAGATCGCACCTGGAAACTTCGCTCAGAAATTCGTTGAACAGTCCCTTGTAAATTAGAAATTCCATCCAAGTACTTTGAAAGTTTTGTTAACTTGTAAATCGTTGCAAGTCGTCGCGCAGCCAGACGTTTCCACGAAGAAAATTAAAAGTCGACGACGGATAAATCAATTACAGAGTTGAATTCTTCCGAGTATGTGAATGTAAAATCATGCGCGGCAGAATTCCATTTATTCGAATTCGTCAGGGGACAAACAGCGTAATTGGAATTCACGTGATAATGGCACGCCAATTTCCCTCGCTATTACTTTTCGCTCGCATAATCGGGAGATTCGTGTTCAAATGAGCGGATTCAATCGACGAAAGTCCAGTTAATCAAGCATCGACGAAAATTTCGTTCGAGCGAATTCGGATAAATGGCCATTTGCTGTGACTTACTTTAGTGCATTGCCAAACATTAAAACTATTGAAAGGCTTTAAGGTTGCTATGGTATCTACAATTGTGTACAATTATATACAATTGGTGCGAGAATGGAGAAAGGATGTAGGATTTGGGTAAGGTGAGGAGATATTGTGCGTTTCGTCTCAGAGTCGCTGCCTAGACTCATCAGTGGGGCTGATGGCAGCAACCTCTTACCCCAGACGTTTATTGTTATAACTCTACTCGGACAGTTACCCATCCTAGCGGTGTTCCGCACTCTGTTTACTTAACATCGAAGATCGTTAGACTTCGACTTATGGCTTGTACGAGTCAATGTTTGAAACTCGTACTCGAGGAACTATAGGCCGCCACACTATCTAGAAAGGAAGAAATTTGTCGACAAAAGGTGATAAATCAAGAATCAGTCAAAGGAAGCACAGATTAAGAGAAAACAGCTACACTTTTTGCTTTCCAACTCCATGATTATTCAATTCATAACTTGACTAATTAGTTTTGGCAAGCGTTTGCCAGTGATCGAATCACCGTCTCAATCGAGCAACTTTGCACAGTGCCGCCAACCCCTCCGACTTTGCTCGCCACCGGGACCACAACCGACGCGGTCCAACTGCAGTGGAAACAGGGCGACAATGGAGGCGCCCCTATCAAGGGTTTCTTGTTGGCCTATCGTCGAGAGTTCTCCGAGTGGGAGGAAGTGATGCTTGATAGGAAAGCAAACACGCATCTGCTGGAAGGTTTGCAGTGCGGCACCAGGTACCAGTTCACGTTGGCAGCCTTCAACAGGATTGGTAGCGGAAGCGCCAGCAAGGTCGAGTCAGCCAAAACAAATGGGACGAAACCCATTGCTCCTACGAAACATCAACTAATCAAGGCGAACCAGACGTTCGTTACATTGGAGTTGACTTCCTGGCAAGATGGGGGCTGCCCTCTGTTGTACTTCGTGGTCGAGTACAGGAGACTTCCTGGCGCTTGGTTGCTCGGTAAGTTGCGTTGCCAAGTACAGGTGGCTCTCATTAATATTCGGACGCTAGAAATTTGAAATGGGGAATAGTGGGAAAGAAAAATTGTGCAACAATAAATCTGGACTCGTTTGAAACTCGAAATATTTTTTATCTTCGAGATGCATCGTTCGTTTTTATTTTCAGATATTTTTTTATTAGCAAAGTGGGGATACTTTTCTTTTTTCTCTTTGCGACTGGATCTCTAATGGATTCGAAGATTTTTTTTTTTTTTTGCAACAACATCTTGATAAAAAACTTGAGATTTAATTTCCTCTCGTTGCTTCGTTGAATATTAGACTCAGACGACGGAAATTCGAGACGTTTATTCAAAGTTCATTAAAATGGCGGAACAGTTTTTGAGAGTCGTATAGGAAAGAATCCGAATTCATTGTAGATTCAATCGTGAAAGAAACTCCGATGTTTTTACATACTATTTTCGAGAAGAAAAATATTTTCCCTCGATCATTCGCTAGTGTAAAAACATTCCAGAATGAAATGAATTTTAAAATGAGCCCGTGTTTATTGTCGTACTTTCTTCCTCACAAAATTATAACAGTTAGTCAAAATTTTTAAAAGCATCACGAAATTAAATTTCATCGAAGACGGATTTCTATGTAAAAACACCTTTAGAAACTAATTTTTAATCTCTCTGTGCAATCGAATCGATGAAGTAGAGATTACTAGAATAAAGTGCAGATGCAGCGCGGCTGGAAACAAAAAAAAAAAAAAAAGTATATATATATATATATCCCCAGGAGAGAGAAGCCTCTCGAAAATCCTGGTGCATGAAATAGATACCGAAACTCGCCATAGGACGCAACATGCTACGGTCTGTTTCACGCGGCAACGACCCTAATTCTGTTGCAGTGTCGAATAACGTGTCGCCGCAATCGAGATTCTCTATATTGGACCTGGAAAGCGGCACCAAATACGAGCTCCGTGTCACCGCGTACAACAACGCGGGCTCGACGCAGGCCGAATACCTGTTCAGCACGCTGTCGCCGACCGGCAGTAATCGAATGCACGACGAGCAGCCGCCGGAAACCGAGGAGACCTCTTTGTTTTTTGACGCTCACGTGCTGGCGCCCAGCGTGATCTCACTTTTGGCCGTGTTCCTCGCTGTGGCTGGCGTTTGCTTTTGCTTGAAAACACGTAAGTCTGCCTCTGCGGTCAGACTGCAGATCTGCCAATGGTTGTCGTCCATTATTCATACGGAATTTTTCTCTTCGCACCTTCGTCGTTTCGTTCGTTCGTTAGTGCTCCCCTCTCGAAACGGCGAATCGAGTCGAATCGAATTTGGCCGGCGTCCGCGTTGCTAATTAGACGTGAAATATACGATCGGTGCCAAGGAGTCTCGCGTTTTCCGTGAAACCTTTTCACGCAAACGTGTTTATGGACACCGATCGAGGAAATTCCCAATTGGCTTGAAAATTCATATTCATTTCCGTTCGTTCGAATAACCGTACATATAATTAAAATCGCCGGGGGGGCATGTATATTTCGTTCGTATTGAAACAGGCATTATCAAACAAAGAAGCGTTGAATCGACGTTCAATTAACGATCCTAGTTTCGCATGCGTGCATGCATTTAAATATACGACCCGCACACGCGCACGCATAACGAAAATCATGGTTTCAGAACAACATCGGAATTCGTGTCTATAGCGCGTACGAAATTCAACCGTATATACATATGTGTGTATATAATATACATCTCGTGCATTCAATCGCCAACTATCCCCCGACCGATCGAACTTAACTACGTTACGTGTAACAACCATAGAGCTTGATCCATCGAACTTAAACTTTCGCCAATTCGACGATAAAATCCAACGTCGATCAAATCGCGATAGCTACATCTATTAACCCTCGGATAGTCTGACTTAAATGAGCGACGCGGCAAGCCGACACCGAGTCACTTTTGACCCATAGCTGAATTTTTAACTACACTTGCTTTGCACCTAACTTTTTGGTACAGGATGTTACCTAATAATGTTTATATTGTTTTTATATAATACTTTAGCCAAAATTTCGAGAAATATCTGTCTTTGAAATATTTTGCTTCTTCGCTCAAGTTCTGGTGTCGGCTACGCGAGGGTTGAAAGAATCGGCCGGGAGTTTAAATTGGAAAAGGTGAGATGCATATGCGGCATTTAAAACTTCACACAGAGTTTGAACCCCGTAAAAGTCATTTGAGATCAATAACTGGATAATTCTGTCTGCTTAAATTTTTTAAACAAGTCCATATACATACATACATACAGTGAGCAACGAAAGTATTCGAACGGCATGATAGAAAATAATTGATTATACAAAATGTTATGTATTTGTTTAGTTTTTCTCTAGCTTTGCATCTATTTAGCAAATATATATACATAAGTATATAAACAATTAGTATAAAACAATTTGTTTCAATAAATTGCAATTTATTATACAATTTTTGTATAATCAATTATTTTCTATCACGCCGTTCGAATACTTTCGTTGCTCACTGTACATACATATATATATATATATATGTGAACAGTGAAAAGAAAATAATTGATTATACAAAAATTGTATAATAAATTGCAATTTATCGAAACAAATTGTTTTCATATTATTGTATATACATTTGCTAAATAGATGCAAAGTTAGAGAAAAATTAAACAATAAGTAAACAAATTACATAACATTTTGTATAATCAATTATTTTCTATTATATATATACACACACACACACAGATCGATCGCAAAGAAGAGGTAAAAGGGAGGATGGAGAGAATCGAAGGGCAGAAATCGATCGCTCGGTGCTCAAAGTACACGGGGATAGGATTTCAGTAGTGGAGGCAATTTGCATGAAGCCAGAAGGGCGTGCTGGCGCCGCACTCGTGCCACTCGTCGTTATTGAGTAGCTAAACGTCGCGGGATTGTGCTCTAATTACTATATCTGTCGCGGAGGCACCTCTGAGGGGTGGCGAGCCGCGAGATATCGTCGATTAACGGGGTGCAAAATTGATTTTCTCCGAACTTCTCGTTTCTTCCTTCTTCCTTCGTCCCTCGGCGTCCTTCCCGATGACTCTAACGGAACGCCACGCGTTTTTGTTAATTTCATTTTCATCGTTCGCACGGAACGATTCGATTAATTAAAGCTTGGCGAACGAGGCAACCGCGCACACACGTCGCGCAATTATGTCCGGTGTCGTTGATGCTAACGCGACACGAAACGTTTCATTGGCGCGCGACTATGGCGTTTCGCGACGATTCGAGTGTGGAAACAGTGGATTCTGAATCGTCGGGTTTTATTGTCAAGCCAGCGTGATTTTTTCGTGGGAAAGTTCTGCTTTGAATTCTGGGAATAACGCAGCAGTTTCGACGTTAACTAGTTTTTAGCAAATCGCACTCCCTTGGCGGGTGAATAAAACGCAAACTCTAATTTAACGGCAATTTAGTATCAAAATTAATATACCAATCACATTGGTTTGATAGTTCGGCGTATTAACCTGAAAATATAGCCTTCGTACATTCCATTAAAAGACCGGTTTTATCGAAATGAGATGGTATATTTCACTCGAATTGAAATTATAGTTTGAAATCCAAAGTGAGGCTCGAGTTTAATTAAATTATTCGGTCTCCCAAAGGCCCATATTGCAATAAAACGTTACTATTAATTTATTCATTTTACTGGTGTTTAGGACTTTTTTTACTATTAATTTACCTATTTTATCGATATTTAGAATTTCCTTTTTAAATTAAATTGCACGTAACACTACAACTAAAATAAGTATAATTACAAGTTTAGCCCAGGGCCAAGTCCTTTGTTCGTTGAAAGTCAAAGCCGACCTCACGGTTGAAAGTCTCTCAGCGTGCTGGAGACACGTCAGGTCTTTGGTTTACAGCGGCTTGAAAGGGTCTAAGACGCCATACTTTTGACGATGTTTATATAACTAAATATATAGCGGCCCAACGTTGCCGTGGCAAATTCTTGTTCCATTCTTTTTTTAACCTCGTTAATCGCGAACAACAACAAAGTGCCAAGTATTGCGATAAAAATGGTACTGCTACTCGCTTCGAGTTTACGACAGACAACGAATGTTCCTCTAGACCTCTCGATCGGCCACGCGTGACTTTAGCGTGGCGTAAATGGAAAACTACGCAAACGGAGAGAAAGTGGTAATCCATGACGATGATTGCAGACGCAGAAAGGTCAGGCCGAGCGAACGATCCGAATTCGCAAACGCAGGCCGCGCTGGAGAACAAGCACAACATGGAGCAGAGGGAACAGTACTACGCGACCGTGAGGAAACCGGGCCAGCAGTCACCCTGTCGCGAGGTGAGCGCGCTGGAAAGAATACCCGAATATTCCGAAGACATTTATCCGTACGCCACCTTCAATCTGCCCGAGCAGGAAAACCTGTCGGCGAACCCGATGCGACAGGCGTTCTACTACGAACGTAGCGAAACGATGCTGCAAGGCAATCAGGTACGAGTACCGATCAGAAATGAAACTAACTATCCACGTAGACTCGACAGTGCGAAACCGTGTCTTTTGTATTTCTTTTTTCGAGCACAGCGACGATCGTGCTTCTCCTTCGAATTTCTTTGCAGTGATTTTTAATTGAATCGATCGAAAAACCGGCATTCATCTCTTGCACGCGAGTCTGACGTAGCCAACGTAACGTGTATCTTCATCGAGAGATCGAATGATATGTCCTCGTGTACGCGCGGCGGAGATCAGGTCGATGATATATCGCTTGTGTACACGTGGACGGATATCCCGAGAGATCAAAGCAGCGTGCACTCGATGTGAGGCGACTTTCGTTGATGTATCGTGCTCGAGCTTACGTTAGATCTGGCGAGACTCTGCTTACGAGTATGTAAACGTCCCTGCTTCTGTGTGGTTGGGAAAACTTGTTTCGAGAGAGCTATCGAGTTCTCCAACATCTTTCTCTTCGTATTTCGCTCGTCTTTAAATTAAATTTAAGTTTGCATTTAGAGTCGAGGGCGTTAACCTCTTGCGCTGGAATGACGTGCCACGCACGTCGAGAATATTGGCCCGAAAATTGCAATATTTCTCTCAGTTTTAAGTATATTTAAGTATAACCCAGGCAAAACAAATAATAAATTTATTACTTCTCAATAATTTCTATCCAGCGATATCATACCGACGAAAAGAAAGCGACGAATTGTTGTATACGGTTCTTCGGTCGCTCGTTATGGTCCGCAATCAGTTGCCAGCGCAAGTGGTCGATGATACGAAGATCAGCATGTAGCAAATTGTTCTTGCAATTACATGCTAACTGTGTACTGAATGAATTACATCACGAACACTAGCGAACGTACAGAGCGTCACACACACACACACACACACACACACACACACACACACACACACACACACACACGTATGATTCTTCAAAGTTAACTTAAATTTAATTCGAAGCTACGACTGACGTAAACTTGTACATTGTACAAAAGTATACATGGCGATCGTGTTTGTTGGCATCGAACTGTTTCTCGATCTCTGTTTCAAATGTAATTAATCGATAAAAATTCGACGATGTTCTAGCGTCTAATGTCGAAACTTGTCTCCAAAGAACGTAGGTAACTCTTACACGTTGCAGTGCGACATGGAGCAGTATACAAAGGTACGAGGAAGGGCGCGACGGAAGTCGAAGTCGTTCAAGTCGGAGTCGGAGGAGTACGACACGCTGGGCTCGGACAGCGACACGGAGGTCGGTACCAGCAGTCGCACCGAGTCCTCGAATCACCTGGACGACTCCGGGCCGGCGTCGATAATGACGCGGTCGCCGGGGCCGAATTCGATCGGGCAGAGGGAGCAGCGACTAGCCCTGGTCCCGAGGCCGGTTCATCATAGTAAGTTAGTATTCGATTTTCTGTGTCGATGCCGGCAACAGCCTTAAACAGCATCCAAGCCGCCACTAACGTCTCACGTTTCTCGCATCAACGTGTCTCGCGTGCACCTTCCAGATGTGCTGTACCACACGCACGAATCAAGTACATCAACCGAGCCGTCACCAATTTCTGAGAGGAAGACCTTCCCGAGGCTCGAGAAGCAAAGGTACGACACCCCAAGCGAAATAGCTTTTCAGTCTTTCTAATGGATTTCGTGGATGGGAAATATCTTCTAAAAAAAAGAGAAAAAATTCCTCGAACTTCTCTTTCGTTTGACACGTAAAAATCATGATTGATCTTTGCTTTCATCGATAAGTTGGAACAGATAGAGTTCTCTACTGTGTCTCAATTTTCTAAAAATTTTTATTTATCATTATTCGTCAGTTTTACCAAAGACCTTTGTCCGCGTATGCATTAACATAGGTCAAAGAAAGGCTGAGAAATACTTGAAGAGACGATGAAATTTACAGGAATCAAGGGGCAACACCCGATATGGGGATGGACGGTCGTGTACCGGGGATCCTGCGCCCTGTGCTGAAGCTCTCGGAATCCGGGATGCATTCGTATTCGAGGGGGGCATCGCCGAGTCAGCCGTCGAGGCCTGGATCATGCGATCGGCTGGGGAAAGATCCGAGCCCGAGGAAGTCCGTAGAATCGTTGTGCCTGCTGGAGGAACCCGGATCGTCCAGAATGGCAAGGAGGGAAGAGGACTGGGGCAGCGAGCTGTCTACGTTGGAACTGAAACCGCCGACAGGCTTCACGGACGCGCACGAGACCAGCGAGGCCGAGTGCGATATCGACATGAAGCTGAAGCTCCACAGGAAGAGGACGGGTTTTCCTTCTAACTCGCTCTCCAAATCACCTAAAGACTTCACTATCACTGTCTAAGTGTGTTAATCAAATATTCGAAGGAGAAAAAAAAGAAAAAAAATAAGAAAGAAGTAAAAAATGAAATGAAACGCTAACGAAACGAGTAAAATAAATGATAAAAAAAAAAAAAAAAAACACGATATATCGCATAAGGAACACAGACACACGTACACGCATACAGACACAGACACGTAAAAATAATAAAGCTGCCAAAGCATGATGAGTGTTAATTCAAAAAAAGCAAAAATGTAAAAAAAAAGAAAAAAAAAAAGTATCGAAGCGCAAAAAGAAAAAAAAGAAAATTTCCTCGCCGTTGAGATTGTCGGGATCCCCCAACGCTTCTCTGTGGATGGATGACTGTCTTTCCGTGTAACTACCGTCGACGATCCATTTACAATAAAGAGGTATTTTTGTAAGAAAAACCGGAAAAAAAAAGCTAACCACCAGTGTTGTGAATTTCTTTCGCGTACCTTTACCCGCGCGTCTCGCCGAGAAGGGACGAGAAACAAACGTATTTCGTTTTACACGTTCTCTCCACTATGTGTCGACGGACGTGTTCGGAGTTTATCGACTCCGAATTTAAATTCATCGACAATTGATGCGGCACTTCGTTAACGCCGATCGAACGGATAGCTTCGAAGCGGATTCGAAATTCCCACCGATCGATCGCTTTTCTATCGTTGCGAGGACAGTGATTCGTTAAAATGACAATTTGTGGTCATAGACGCGGCCACAAACGAGACGTCAATCAGCTTAATTACCAACGCTTATCAGTTGCACGTCAGTCGCATTTTCACGGGAGAGATATTCGATTCTGGCATTAATCCGGAGACAGGATCAATACGGATTTTCGCGTGTAATCGATAAACGACATATCCCAATGTGTTTTATCGATTTTATTTGCCTTTCAGATCGATCGAAGCGTTCGAAAAATTAAATTTACTTGATCCTTGAAAATTACCATGTTCAATCACAGAGGGGGTATCGTCTGTACTATAAATTCCCAATCCCCTGTCGTAATGATAGAAATTTATCTGAAAAAAAGACACAGGTACCATCTTTGTACGTTCACCGCCACTTGTTCAAACCAAACGAATTATCATTAATTTCCTGAAATTCTACTGTCGATAAGAATAAAGACAGTACTGCCATCTGTTGAAGTTTTCCAGTTTGTCCTTTTAATTCCAGTGAAAGCTGAAAAAGTGCTTGGATGGCAGTACCGTTCATAGACAAAGAGCACAATAGTATGCAAGTGAGACAGAAACAGCGATCAGTTCCACCATTTCACCGCTACGCGACGGCGGCGTATTTGAATGTTCGCGAATCGACCAAATTCGTTTTAAAAAAACATTAGTTAAGAGGATCAATTTATAAACTTTTATGATTGGATCTTCCTGAGTAGACCCTAAACTTTCTTCCTGCATTCAATTCGGCGAATAAAATGCGTCTATAAAGATCTGCAAATTCTATTCAGTAGCTCCTCTTTGAATAACACTTTATTCTTCGTAAACTTACGTTTAACAATCTAAAAGATTATATTTCTGCAAATTGCAGTCTATATGTATCGTCATTTTTCTTTTTGGTTGGTTTCATTTTGAAATTATTAATCTAAATAATTATTAAATATAATCTAAAAGATTATATTTTTGTAAATTGCAGTCTATACGTATCGTCATTTCTTTTTTTTGGTTGGTTTCATTTTGAAATTATTACTGTAATCGATTAGATTGCTGTAGAAAAGCAAAGATCACGATGAATCGTACGTACGCAGTTGTGAATTTTATTTAAAAAAAAAAAAAATCTGCGAGATGCAAAAATGCAAGAAAGTTAAATGTCCTTAATCCTGGAATGTCAGATGAGAAAAAGGAATGGTGATGAAAGAAGTCAACGACGAACGAAGAGAAAAGCAAATATCAATACGGACGCGATGTAGTGGCGTGATTTATAGCTGCACGATCGATACAATGAAAACTCATGATATTTTTCGATAGTAAGAAGTGTATATTACTACAACATACTTGTGGGATATCGATTGCAACAATGATCGCATCAGAGAAGGGGCTTGGGAGCTGGAGCGAGGGTTCGCTACTCTTCTACACGGCGGATACGTATACAACAAAGAAAAAATACACACTTATTAGCTGTGACAATAGTTTGTTCGCGTATCAATACGTGTCGTGTAGTCGCAATTTTTCCTTTCTTTCTCTTTTTTTCCCTTTTTTTCTTTTCTTTTTTTTTTTTTTTTTTT